TGACAACCAGACTGACTTTAAGAGTAATATCAATATTTCAGTCATTCAAATGATATCAGTAAATATGTATAATTTTGTTTCTTAAATTTCAGGAATTATGTATTATTGCTGAAAATTTCAGTAAATATACATAATTCCTGAGTGAATCAGACATTATACATAATTACTGAAATTTTCAGTAATTATACATATATCTGATTATACATATTTTACATATTTACTGATTATACATATTTACTGATTATACATATTTCCTGATTATGCATATTTCCTGTAACATATATTAACATGTACTGGTGTCCTGCCATTTGTGAGAACTCCCAGTTGTGAGACACATTAATTAATGGTTCAGTGCACACAGGTGGTGCTTCCCCATCCCTACGATGAAAGTGGGAACAGCCCTGTTGCTGAAGAGTACCCGCAGGAGGCATAGCTCATTAATGAGTTAATTAACACAGTAGACATTGTTCGTTGAAGAGCATTTATTGTTTTCAATAGATACTGAAATACTGAAAAAGATTATCGTGAACTGGTGATGTATTCTATTTGTTGAAGGCCTGCCATAATGGTGATCGGAAAGAGCAGTCAAAGGTTAATAAATACATTTGGATTAATTATAGTTACAACAGTTATTGCTAGATTTTTCAAACACGTAAATCTGAGTAGGTAAATTAATTTCTCTTTCAAATGATCACGAAGTTACCTACACAAAGCCATTAATCTGAATAGGTTAGTTACTTTATCTTTTAGCGTTTTATTAAGTTACCTCCACAAGACTCAGTTAAATAGCTAATCCATAATTAGCTGGGGTTAATCCATTCTATCAGAATGGGGAGTAAGGTGTGTTTTCTTTGCTAATTACCTACTCCACTGTGTCACAACTGGGAGTCTCACAACTGGGAGTTCTCACAAATGGGAGTAGACCCATATACTTAATTAGTGTATGTACTTAATTAGCTGGGGCCAGCTGGCGTGCGTTTACTCCTAATGATTTTACCCTGCATAAATAGTTACATCAATCTCTTCCTAGACATCACACTAAATGATAACCAACCTACCAGATACCCTCTCTCCCATTTCCAATCACCCACAGCAATAGACCTAACAATCACCACCCCTACATTTACAAAATCTTGCCTATGGGAGGTACACTCAGACACCTGGCCTCCAGCACAGAAATCAAATACAATGTACACAAAGCAGACAGGAATAAATTCACTAAACTATGCAAACAAGTTGACCCATCCAACATTATAAACACTGATACAGAAACCTTTAACACACAGCTAACCAACACCATCATTGATATAACAAATACATGCATACCCACTTTTCGGACCACTCAAGCACAGAAAACAGTCCCATGGTGGAGCCAAGACATTATCAATGCCAGAAAGGCACGAAAAAAGGCCCTCAATAAATCAAAGAGGGACCGTTCAAAATGTTCATTTGGCTAAAAAAATGGCAAAATAGGAACACTGGAGAAAATTTTGCTCGACCCTGAGGCTAAACCAACACAACTCTAGAAAAATGTGGAAAAATTTTAAAGCTATTCAGGGAAATTCCAAATCTATAATTCAACCAAACCTTCCGAACCTCCCCACAAATAAAGAAAAAGCTAATACAGTTGCTGCCCACTTTTCGAACACTAGTAGCTCCACCAACTTAAAACCAACCACCCTACTCACCTGAACCACCCCACTCACACCTACCCATAAACAAAAACATAAACATACACGAACTTAAGGCAGCTCTTAAACATAAAAAAACAGCCTCAGCCCCTGGTCCAGATAACATCACATACACCATACTGAACAAACTTCCACCAAACATGCTCAACTTAACACTTACACTATTTAACTATATCTGGACCACAGGAAACATACCATCTTCATGGAAAACAGCTAAGGTGGTGCCAATCCTAAAGCCAGGGAAACCCATTAACTCCCCAGATTCATTTCGACCTATTTCCCTCACTTCACACTTATGTAAAACACTAGAGTCTATAGTTAATAATAGGCTAAAACATCAAATCCAAACCCACAACTTAATTAAGCAGGACCAGAGTGGCTTCACTCCAAATAGGCAAACTTTAGATCACATTTTACATTTGGAACACTATATAAAGGTAGCCCAAGCACAAAAAAAATACACGCTGGCCATTTTTATTGACTTTAGCAAAGCTTTCGACATGATCTGGCACAACGGCATCATCCAAAATCTACAAGAAAATGCCATACATGCATATTTTAAACTTCATACAGGCATTCCTCAAAAATAGACAAATAATAGTCAAATCTCACAACACTGTCTCGGATCCTTTTCCACTAGAAAATGGAACCCCCCAGGGGAGCATAATTTCCCCAACACTTTTCAACTTCATGATTAACGACATATTTCCGGACAAGTGGCCAGAAATTTCTACTGCAAAATTCGCTGATGACATTTCCTTTTGGACATCATCCACCTCAGGAAACCAAGCCACAATCAAAACTCAAAGAATGCTAAATCACATCCAAAACTGGGCCCCTAAATGGGTGTTCCACATAAACGTTTAAAAACCGTGGGCATCTTATTCAAAAAGCAAAGAATGCAAAATTATACACCCAAACTCCATCTTAATAACCAAGAAATCAAGTTCGAAAAAGAGGCAAAATTCCTAGGTGTAACTTTTGACCAACACATGACATGGACACCCCACATTAATAATCTGGTCAACTCATGTCAAAAAGATCTAAATCTCATGCGAGCTATCAGTGGTACAAACTGGGGAGCCGACAAACAAACACTTATTAATATATACAAAACTCTTATACAGTCTAGACTGGACTATGCTGCTCCGGTCCTCCACTCCATCTCCCCATCCAACCTTCAAAAACTCAATTCTATACAGTACAAAGCCCTTAAACAAGCCCTAGGCACTAGGACTGGCACCTCCCACAACACTCTTCTCCTACTCACAGGCATCCCCTCAATCAAAACACAAATAAATCAAACTGCACTCAATTACTGGGCTGGGGCCCAACACAACCCAATATACAAACTTATCTCAACTAAATACACCAACACTAAAAAATCCACTATTAAAAAATTTAAAAACAACCCAAACAAAGCCCCCCTACTCACTCACCTCAACAGTCTGCTTCACTCACAACACCTAAACACCATCCAGCACACACCTCCCATAACAAGCTACATTCATGACAAACCCCCACCCTCTACAGATACCACCCTAGTAGAAACACTCCAAAATCTCCCTAACACCACTGACACTCAAACCAAAACAAACCTCATCCAATCCCACATCAACCTAAATTACCCCAACCACACCCAAATATATACAGACGCTTCAGTCGGTACAAATAAATGCATAGGCATAGGCATCCATGTACAACAAACACCCCCCTTAACAACAAACCTCCACTATACAAACCACACAAACATTAACACAGCAGAATTAACAGCAATCCTAACTGCATTACACCTCATCCCCACTATGCCCCCCACCAACATCTTAATACTCACAGATTCCCTCAGCGCCGTCAAACAACTCCAACATAAGCACTCAAAATCACGTAACGACCTAATACACAACATAATTATACAGATTCACTCACTGCAACAATTAAATAAAAACATAACATTAATGTAGATACCAGCTCACACTCACAACAAAGGAAATAATACAGCAGACATAGCAGCCAAACTAGCCACCACACAAAACTCTCCAGCCATACAATTCCACACATCCAAAACTGAAATAAAACAACTCATCAAATCTCACATAATAAACCAAAACTACCAACACAACCTCAACACAAACAAATCCACCTGGGTCAAAGCCATCATAACCAAACCTATCACCAAAACCCTCACCTACTCAAACAACAAACACATGCACACACTCATCACTAGACTAATCACCGGCATAACAAACTTAAACCACACATTATTCAAACAAAACAGACACCCAGATGGACTATGTACACAATGCAAACAACCAGAAACAATTGAACACATATTTACACACTGCCACCTGCAACAAACAAACATCACACAACTACACAGCAGTATACCAGCTAAATATCACAATAATATACATCTACTTTTTAATCCCCTCAACCCGTCAACTATATTCCACGCCATAGCCACCTTCCTACAAAACTCCAACCTAATCAATAAAATTTAGAACTTCCCAAACAATCCCCACCACACTACCTCTCAATAGCTTATATATTTAGACCAGGCTTCAAAACCTCATTTATCCATACTATTTCTTTATCACCAACATAAGCCTACTCATTTAGACCTGGGAAACAAATTTCACTTACCCATAGTTGTCTTATTTTCGCTAAAACGTCCGCGCCCTCTCTCAGCCAATCAGTAACCTCTAAAATGTAAATAAACCCAGCACCAGCCCTCGTGTACAAAGGTCACGGCCTCCCTACCAAGCCAGCTCACCCACAGCCTTACAACCACTGCCACGGCCTTTGCCTTATCGTCTCCCTCACCCCCCACCCCCCAACCCCGTTACAAACCCGTCTTTCTTTCTTTATTAGGTCCCCTATTATTAAATAGTACAGCTTAACTGTACCACTACAATTTAACCCCCAACATGCTATACATTTACTTTATACCCAACCCCACCCCCCAACCCCAACTGTCACCCCCTCACCCCCACCCCCAACTTTATCTATCACATACTTATTCCAACTCCTCTTATTATTAACAACTGCTTTATTTTTCTCTCTCTCTTTATAATTTCGGCTTTTTATTTTATTTATATTATATTTTTAACTATTTTATCCTAAAACTAGTTAAGCTTAATCCCCCATAATTTACATTTTTTAGGGTATGGTGGTTTATCCCTATTATTACATTATTAATTAATTATATATCAACCCCACCTACCCCGTCGGCGACATTGGCTATGCTAAAAGCCGACGTTAAACTTTAAATTTCGTTCGTTCATAGACATATGTTTTCCCGGACACTTTCAGGAGTGACCAGACAACAGGAACCGTCATGCTTTCAGACAAGGACATTGATGGAGGATGGGCGTGGGTAGTTCTGGTAGCCACATCACTTGGCATGGTTTTCAGAGGCAGCACAGCAATATCTCCTGGCTTTCTTCAAGTGGAGTTCTTGAAGTATTTTTCTCAGAGTACCGGCTACACCAGCCTTGTGACGTCCATGTTTATGTGTCTGGAGTTTGTTATGGGTAAGGTACACAGAACTAACCTCAAGCTTTCCTAGATTTGTTGTTTCTATTTATATCCATCTGGGCTCTGCAGACTTAATCATAATCATAATTATACGCAATATGAACTTACGTCTCACGAGATTGTATAGGATCTGTTCCACCCTTTGTTTCTTGATATTCACTAGATTGTATTGCATCTGTTCTACCCTTTGTTTCTTGATATTCACTAGATTGTATTGCATCTGTTCTACCCTTTGTTTCTTGATATTCACTAGATTGTATTGCATCTGTTCTACCCTTTGTTTCTTGATATTCACCAGATTGTATTGCATCTGTTCTACCCTTTGTTTCTTGATATTCACCAGATTGTATTGCATCTGTTCTACCCTTTGTTTGCAGATATTCACTAGATTGTATTGCATCTGTTCTACCCTTTGTTTCTTGATATTCACTAGATTGTATTGCATCTGTTCTACCCTTTGTTTGCAGATATTCACTAGATTGTATTGCATCTGTTCTACCCTTTGTTTGCAGATATTCACTAGATTGTATTGCATCTGTTCTACCCTTTGTTTCTTGATATTCACCAGATTGTATTGCATCTGTTCTACCCTTTGTTTCTTGATATTCACCAGATTGTATTGCATCTGTTCTACCCTTTGTCTGCAGATATTCACTAGATTGTATTGCATCTGTTCTACCCTTTGTTTCTTGATATTCACCAGATTGTATTGCATCTGTTCTACCCTTTGTTTCTTGATATTCACCAGATTGTATTGCATCTGTTCTACCCTTTGTTTGCAGATATTTCTGTTACCCTTTGTTTCTTGATATTCACTAGATTGTATTGCATCTGTTCTACCCTTTGTTTCTTGATATTCACCAGATTGTATTGCATCTGTTCTACCCTTTGTCTGTAGATATTCATTAGATTGTATTGCATCTGTTTACCCTTTGTCTGTAGATATTCACTAGATTGTATTGCATCTGTTCTATCCTTTGTAAAAAGCGGCGTTAAACCAAACTCAGTCAGTCAGTCTATCCTTTGTCTGTAGATATTCACTAGATTGTATTGCATCTGTTCTACCCTTTGTCTGTAGATATTCACTAGATTGTATTGCATCTGTTCTACCCTTTGTCTGTAGATATTCACTAGATTGTATTGCATCTGTTCTACCCTTTGTCTGTAGATATTCACTAGATTGTATTGCATCTGTTCTACCCTTTGTAGATATTCACTAGATTGTATTGCATCTGTTCTACCCTTTGTCTGTAGATATTCACTAGATTGTATTGCATCTGTTCTACCCTTTGTCTTTAGATATTCCCTAGATTGTATTGCATCTGTAACAAATAGTGAACTGTGTCAAAATTTTAATGACCCGTTTGTTAAACAACTTTTTTATTATTGTTTCATTGAATGTTATATGCTTATTAGTTTTCGAGTTAGATTGCATTTCATCGGTCCGCATTTGAGGCAAACGGTCTATAGACTGTATTGCATCTTTTCTACCATTTGTCTGTAAATATTCACTGAATATGCATCTTTTTTACCCTTTGTTTCCATGTTCAGAAGATTGTATTGCATCAGCCTTACCCAAAGTCTGTTTGCTGATATTGACTAGATTGTATTGCATCTGTTGTACCTATAGTTTGTTCATATTCACTTGATTGTATTGCATCTCTTCTACCCTTTGTTTGTAGATATTCACCAGATTGTATTGCATCTGTTCTACCCTTTGTTTGCAGATATTCACTAGATTGTATTGCATCTGTTCTACCCTTTGTTTCTTGATATTCACTAGATTGTATTGCATCTGTTCTACCCTTTGTTTGCAGATATTCACTAGATTGTATTGCATCTGTTCTACCCTTTGTTTGCAGATATTCACTAGATTGTATTGCATCTGTTCTACCCTTTGTTTCTTGATATTCACCAGATTGTATTGCATCTGTTCTACCCTTTGTTTCTTGATATTCACCAGATTGTATTGCATCTGTTCTACCCTTTGTCTGCAGATATTCATTAGATTGTATTGCATCTGTTCTACCCTTTGTTTCTTGATATTCACCAGATTGTATTGCATCTGTTCTACCCTTTGTTTTCTTGATATTCACCAGATTGTATTGCATCTGTTCTACCCTTTGTTTCTTGATATTCACTAGATTGTATGGGATCTGTTCTACCCTTTGTTTCTAGATATTCACTAGATTGTATTGCATCTGTTCTACCCTTTGTCTGTAGATATTCCCTAGATTGTATTGCATCTGTAACAAATAGTGAACTGTGTCAAAATTTTAATGACCCGTTTGTTAAACAACTTTTTTATTATTGTTTCATTGAATGTTATATGCTTATTAGTTTTCGAGTTAGATTGCATTTCATCGGTCCGCATTTGAGGCAAACGGTCTATAGACTGTATTGCATCTTTTCTACCATTTGTCTGTAAATATTCACTGAATATGCATCTTTTGTACCCTTTGTTTCCATGTTCAGAAGATTGTATTGCATCAGCCTTACCCAAAGTCTGTTTGCTGATATTGACTAGATTGTATTGCATCTGTTGTACCTATAGTTTGTTCATATTCACTTGATTGTATTGCATCTCTTCTACCCTTTGTTTGTAGATATTCACAAGATTGTATTTCATCTGTTCAACCCATTGTCTATAGATATTCACTAGATTATATTGCATCTGTTCAACCCTTTCTCTGTAGATATTCACAAGATCGTATTCCATCTGTTAAACCCTTTGTCTGTAGATATTCACTAGTACTTACCATGTGACATTGCATCCGTACATGTTCTACCTTTGTTTCATGATACCCACTATATGGCATTGCTTCTGTAATCCCCTACCATTGTCTACTTTGATCACGAGAATATACATGTGCTGTCTTTGTCGGTTTCTAAGGCCCAATATCCAGCGTGTTCTGTACCTTGTTCAGTGTCAGGACGGCCATGATGACTGGTGGCCTGCTGATGTCGCTTGGCCTTGTCATTGCTAGCTTTACCGCGGACATCGTGCAGCTTCTTCTAGCGTACGGTGTTCTAGGAGGTGAGGATTCTTTTGGGCAGACACATAGAACTGGTTATAATTCATTGCACAATAACACTGAATATGATAAAATCACAAATTACCAGTATGTTTGGATTTATGAAGTTTGGAACAGGACTTGTTATATCAAAGCAGGGAGAATGGAAGACGTAGCCTATCCCTGATCAAAGAATGTCAGTTTCTCGCCCAAAGTAAGGTGGGTGTGAGACATGAACATCTTTAGTGAAACTTGCATGTCTCGACATGGTAATGCCATATTCAAATCTTCTATTTCGACCCCAAATTGTGATTTTTTTTTATTACTTTTAGGTATAAAATATGTTGGATCTCGTTCAGTACTGGCGATTGGCAATGTGTAGCAGTTGTCGGGAGGTAAAAGCTTATACTCTAAATGTATAAAGTGGGTTGTGTCATTGATGATTTTTTCTTGAAAGTACTACCCGCTACTTTGCTAGCTCAACTGTATATACAATTCTCTGCATGAGTTCATGACTGAAGGGCCCCCATGTGGAATCTTTCTAAAAGCAGCGATAAACCTCAATCACGGACTTTAATAACAAGCAACAAAAACATTTGCACAATCATAAGACATTGTATGATTCCTATTGTACCATAAACATGTGCCTACCAAACGTTGATGCCAACAGGTGTTCGCGAACAGGTAAGCGTGGCCTACCCCACAGAAGGCACCCGTCTCACTCACACACACACACACACACACACACACACACACACACACACACACACACACACACACACACACAAAGGCAAGTCGGTTGTTGGTCTTTAAAAGAACAACGGGGACATATTATTAGGAAATTGCAATGTTTGTCTCTGAAATACCCGTGAAGATTAGGTTATACGTGATCCTCAGTAACCCATGCTTGTAGTAAGAGGAGACTAACAGGATCAGGTGGTCAGGCTCGCTGACTTGGTTGACACATGTTTACAGACCGCCGCCATATAGCTGGACTATTGCTGAGTGCGGCGTAAATCTAAACTCTAAACTCACTCACTCACTCACTCAGTTGGTTCGTAAACTACTTCCATCATTTGCTAGACTATGCAAAGGGAGATAACTAGTGCCTCGCATTCCTCTATCTCTCGCACGAAAGAGTCTCGATCTAAGCTTGGATCGGATCGTAAGATCGGGACCGGCTACGATCGGCCTAAGATCGGTTAGTGGAACGGGTGTAACTTTTAGCTAAGACGATTGTAAAATTGGCATAACTTACTAAGATTGATCTTAGATAAGATCGGTTAGTGGAACGGCACCCAGGTGGTCAGGCTCGCTGACTTGGTGGACACACCTCATCGTTTCCCAAGTCCGAGATCGATGCTCATGGTATTGATCACTAGATTGTCTGGTCCAGACTCGATTATTTACAGACGGCCATACAGCTGTGTGCGGCGTTAAACAACAAAGATACACATTGTCACTGAAGCCTAACATTTGGAAATAATTATCCTCCACATGTAACATTTGGAAACCATTAAAAGCTTTGCTGATGCCAGTGATGTTGTGACCTTGAAAATACATTTGATAAAAAGAGATTTGTTTCTATCTTTCAGGCCTAGGGTTCGGCTTATCGTACACTCCCCACAACATAATACTAGGTTATTACTTCAATCGTCATCAACCATTAGCAAACGGGATTTCCCTCGCGGCTTGTGGTTTAGGCCTCTCCGTGGGGCCCTTCGTTGTAATGTGGCTTATAGAATCGAATGGATGGCGATTCACGCTAGTAGCTCTAGCTTGCTGTAGTTTGCAGTTCTGTGTGGTCGGTTGTTTGTATTTCCCTACAAAACGTGAAAAATCAACGGAACATGGCAAAGGACGGCGGAAAATCAAATGTGGCGGATGTTCTAAATCGGAAACATGTCTGTGGTACCTTAAAGACGTGACCTTTTGGATAATGTGCATAAACTACGGCCTTGTTATGGTTGGCTATGGAATCCAGATTGTCCACTTTCCGGCATATGCAGAATCGCTGAACATACGTCCGGAACTCCTTGCATGGCTGTACACAACCTTCGGAATTGTTGTATCTATATCACGGGTGCTGTGTGGAGTTTTATGTAACGACAAAACGGTGGATCTCCTGATGGTATATTTCAGCACTCAAGCCATACAGGGACTTATCACAGTGTTTATGCCCCTGTATGCTAAAGACTACGTGGGCATAATGACGTACCAGGTTCTGGTCTCAATCTTCTATGGGTCCAGCCAGGTCCCTCTCTCGCCGCTTGTTGTCCAGCTGTTTGGTGTTCACAAATTGTCAACAGTATTTGGTTGGATGATGCTCTGGGGAGGTGTAGGAGCTCTGGTTGGGCCGGTGATTGCAGGTAAAATGTTTTCTGTTTTCAGTGAATGAGTTTAGTTTTATGCCGCTTTTAGCAATATTCTAGCAATATCACGGCGGGGGACACTAGAAATAGGCTTCACACATTATACCCCAGTGAGGAATCGAACCCGGGTCTTGATGTGATGGGCGAATGCTTTACCCGCTAGGCTACCCCATTGCCACTGCTGCTTCCAGATAGGTTTGTCACGATTCACCTGTGCATCGATACATCCTGAAGCACAATTTACGATGATTTACACCGCAGGCATCTCCGTATATAAATGCATATCCTAATTTCGTAACGGTTTTCAAACTGAAATATTTAGTAGGTTTAACAATAACCATGGCTAATATCATATACAAAGAATTGCAATTTAGGTCATTTCACATCCAATATTCAAGACTCGGGTAAGAATATTTAGGGCAATACTTTAAAATATACAATACGTTTGTCGTACGACTACAGCATGGTTCGTTCCCAATAATGTCAAACACTGGATTTTCTAAACCAGGCTAACTCTTCCGGCTACCGTCATATAGCTGGAACATTGCTGAGTGCGGTGTTTGCATCCAATGAGCGAGTTTATCGAATCCATACCACAGGTACCCACACCCCGGCGCAGCTATGACTTAGCATAACAACACTGCCACAGGCTAATTTGCATATCACGTGACCGGACTTTTTCTCTTGCGTTTAAACAAACACGTAAATAAGAAGGGAATGACCCAACGCAAGTGATTCCTCGCGGTCTTCATGATGTTTTACATTGTTACATAAATAGTCTTCTACAACTGCGAGAGTAAGGTTTATGACAATACATATTTATGTATCAAAGGGGCTGGATTGTTTGTTCTCCATCAGGCTTCGATGACAGCACGTGGAGCTGTACAGCCCATGTAAACAAAGGATCGCTACGCAAACCGAAATACATGTAGTGTTACACGTTTAAGGATATTTTCTCAGTGAAACTAAACCATTCTAACAATGATGTTTAATCAGATGTGTAGACTCATAAAAAATAATAGAGTTAAGAAATATGTATACTGAGTCAAAAAAGAAACTTCACATTCTTTATTCAGGGCACTATAAAAGAACAAGAGATGGTAAGATGGTTAAATTGTTATTATTTCATTGCTGAGATCTGTGTGATGTACTCGATACACTGACAGTGCCATAATCAGTTCCATTAGGCTACACCGCCGTTCCAAAACATGGGGGCGGTGGGGTAGCCTAATGGTTAAAGCGTTGACTCGTCACGCCGAAGACCCGGGTTCGAATCCCCACATGGGCACAATGTGTGAAGCCCATTTGTGGTGTCCCCCGCCGTGATGTTGCTGGAATATTGCTAAAAGCGGCGTAAAACCAAACTCAGTCAGTCAGTCAGTCCAAAACATGGGTATACAGAATGTCAAGTCACAAGAATAAAAATGCAAAATTTCTCAGTTCAATATCGTGTATGGCCGCCCGTGCATTCATCACTGCCAAACACCGTCTCCTCATCGACTGCCTGATGCTTGTGAACACGTGGTTGGGGATTCTGCGCCATTACTCTTGCAAGGCAGCGCCAAGTTCCTGCAAATTCTGAGGTTGGTTCCTAAGACCACGAAGCCTTCTCCCAAGTGCATCCCAAACGTGCTTTATTGGATTAAGGTCAGGGGACCTCGATGGCCAGTCCATGACGTTGATTCCAGCGTTGTGAAGGAAATTTCGTGTCAACATCGCGGTATGCGGCCGAGCATTATCATGCTGGAACTGTTGACTGGGCCATGAGCCGCCATGAAAGGAACAAGTTCAGGGGTGAGCACCTGGTCGCGGTAAGCAGCAGCTGTGAGGTTTCCACGGATGACCAGAAGTCGGGAACGGTTGTTCCCACAGAAAGCACCCCACACCATGCAACTTCCGCCCCCGAATCTGTCGACTTCCTGTACACAACATTGGGCATACCGTTCACGACGTCGTCTCCAGACTCTATGCCTGCCGTCCGCGAATCTGAGGGTAAACCTGGATTCATCGTTAAAAACGACTCGATTCCGACTCTCTGGGTCCATCGGAGGTGACGTTTGGCCCACAGCAGACGTTGACGTTGATGAAACGGCGTCAATATTGGCCCACGATATGGACGTCGAGAATGGAGATTGGCACCCTGCAACCGATTTCGAATGGTCTGTGAGGACAATCGTGGCATTTCAAGTACCGATAGAACTGTGGTTTAAAAGTGTTTTTTCAATTCTTGAGACCAATGCAAACACGTGCATATGAAGAAAACTACGATGCGAAGATCACGTGATCGACTGCACGTGAAAACCTGATTTGGCACTAACGTCATTTGCACGACGACTGGATGGGTTTGAGTGGGTTTTGCTAACGTTTTTCTAGAGTCAAAAGATAGGGATCCCATTTCGGATACATAGATGTATCATCAGAGAAAAATTATTCATTATTTTTCAAATTACATTTTGTGAAGTTTCTTTTTTGACTCAGTATACATTATATTGAATGGACTGTGTAAGATGTGACGAATCGTCACATCTTTCTGGCCTGCATCCTCGATAATCTCCAGGGTATATCACTCTCCACTATACCCTGGATGCATCCACGGCTTGGCCCCATAATTATATTACCTCCCTTTGCTGGCTCCGCATTATCACAGTAGCCAATCAGCTAAGCCGTTACATCCGAGCTTGCCAGTGTTAACAAAGATAGCGGTCGCAGTCGCGAAGGTTTGTTTGCAGTACCACTGGTATTTTTCAGGAAATAATACAGACAAATGGAGGATCTGAAACTTTTAAAAAATATATGAAACAACTCCTTCTACATCTTTCAGAGAACCTCTGCATCAATTGTGTTGCCAAGTTTAAACGGTTAGATCATTTAAGAAGCGAAAGTGAGTTGTGATTGGTTCGCTCAACTTCCCAGCGTAGACACCTGATCGGATTAAAAGCCAGCCAAGGGAGGTAATAAAATCATCGGGCCAAGCCGTGGATGCATCCACTGACTGACTGAGTTTAGTTTTACGCCGCTTTTAGCAATATTCCAGCAACATCACGGCGGGGGACACCAGAAATGGGCTTAACACATTGTGCCCATGTGGGAAATCGAACCCGGGTCCTCGGCGTGACAGGCCAACGCTTTAACCACTAGGCTACCCCACCGCCCCCGTGGATGCATCCAGGGTATAGTGGAGAGTGATCGTAACGTATACCCTAGAGATTATCGAGGATGTCTGGCCTGTGACAGAGGTACAATGCTGGCTGGCCGCATGAAACTCTGGGTAGGAGAGTGACAGGTACCACGTCTACTTGCAATTTCACTTGGAAACATGAACTTTGGTGCACATTCGTCACCACTCGCCCCTTTCCGTAACCTCAAAATCGCTATTCGGCTTGTCCCGGAATAACACGAGTTGGTCACGAATGTTTGGTGCAATAAGGACATCATGAATGGCCGAATGTCGACATGCTATCTCCGAACGTGTTCATTTTTTAAAGAGGCTGGGTCCCGTTTCTAATATCGCAATATACGAAGCGCAAGGGGAGCCTGGAACCAGCTTAATTCTTTACGTCATAGAGGTAGATGTCATCTTAGATTGCCAGTTGTGAGATCATCGGTGTAACCTTCTCGGTGTTCAATAACTGTATACGATTTTCGCTTGGATTTTCGAATTCTGGTGAGAGTATCAAATAGAAGTAGTAGCACGCACTTCACATAGGAAGCTGTTGTAAATTCGATCTAGCCAGCTTTGTTCTTTGTAGGCTGGCTTCATGACGTCACCAGGTCGTACTCCATTGGGTTTCATGTCGGAGGTAAGGGCTTTAACATTGAGTCTGATAGCATATGTCAGGCCGTATTTGCGACCTCGGGAGACATGACTGGCATTTATGAAGGAACTGAGAGTAGGCATGGGTTGGGAAGTGAGTTAATGAGTTTAGTTTTATGCCGCACTCGGCAATATTCCGGCTATATGGCGGCGGTCTGTAGTGAGTGAGTAGTCTTACGCCGCTTTTAGCAATATTCCAGCAATATCATAACAAGGGACACTAGACATGGGCTTCACTCATTGTACCCACGTGGGGAATCGAACCCGGGCCTAAGGCGGGACGAGCGAACGCTTTATCCACTAGGCTACCTCACCGACCCCGGCGGTCTGTTAATGATCATGTCTGGACCAGACACTCAATAGCATGAGCATCAATCTACGCAAATGGGATACGATGACGTGTGAAGAGTACAGGTTATTGAGAGTTATATTACATTAATGGAAGACAGAGTATAGAGAGAGTACAGTAGATGATAAAAACACAGTTGTATTCTAAGGTTCTTTAGAACTTGAAGAATAGGAAGAAAAGAACTTCTCGCCGAACACACACACACACACACACACACACACATGATTCTTATTCTCGTTTATCCATTCCAGGTGTTTTGGTCATGCTGGCTGCAGTGCTTCTTCTGTTTGTTCCCATGTGTAGACAGCGGGAAGCTGGTGAAGATGTCACAGAACCGGAACTCGCGGAAAAACTTGTACACAAAGACAAAGCTATTGTTGTGAAAGTTGACGTTAAAACACAGTTGTGTGCTGACGTTCAGTAGAGCTGGAAGAATGGTTGCCGATCGACCCATGCAGATCTTCTTAAGGCGCGTTCCCACGTTGCAGTTTGTGGCATACAACACGTTTCATGCCACAAATTACAGGAATGGTGTAGCCGTTCACACGTTGCAACAGTTGCATAAAAGTTTTAGTCTCGCGACACTGCCGTGCGTATGCGCGTGTATAGTTGCTATGCAACCAATTGTTCTTCGGCCGCTGGGTTACTGAAGATCAATTCGAAGAGCAGGGGCTTGTGTAATTCCGTGGGAATTACATGTTAATTGTTGGAACCAATACTTACTGTAATCAGTATTGTGTATGAATTCAGAAAGAAAACATGGTTCAATTTTGTCTGTTTGCTATAAGTATCATTGTGGGGTGATTGAATATGAGTTCCCAAAATTGCTTGCAGCACCATTTCGAAATATTTACATACGCTTATCACAACATAGTCAGGTAGCATAGCAATGATATAGAAATAAAAATGCTTCTACTTTCAATCTGGTGACATAAAATATGACATAATCATATAAATCAATAAATATTGCTTTCCTTCATCGGACACCAACATTGTAAGTATTGGCCTATATTAATGGATATCATTTATTCAATTAATGTATTCTCCCATTTCATGATATATACTACCATGACACACTTATCTAGTAATAATAGTACCCAGGTAGGGTATATGTATATCATAGAGTCATGTACAAGTGTCAAATCAGGCCTACAAGTACAGTCAGAATTGACACACTGACACTCGTGTGTGGGTAATTAAATGACAAATGACATAAAGCCAAATCTGCAGTCAGTATAAACTGAATGTATTAATACAGGAGTGAACAGATAACTACATATTACAAGTTCGGTATGCAAGTGCTATGTATACTGTGTACTAGTATATTTATTTTAACTTTCACAAGGATTTAGCATTGTTAAGTAACTTGCATTGTCAATCAATCCATCATTAACCTGCAAGAACAAAATATGCTGTTGAAATACAAGCTTCGAAATTATTTGACATACAAACACAAGCATCAATTCTACGCATGTTTGTTTCTTAATCTGGAACTAGAAGGGCCCTCGTTAGAGAACATGCCTCCACCTTGCACAGTCTCCATTCACTATTACATTATTAAAGTACTCCTGTGTACTTGTATGCTTATGTACTTTCACCAAACCGTACGCAGATAGCCCTTGTGGCCTACCAAACCTAACCACCAAGATTCATTCAAATCCATCCATAACTTTTTGAGATATTATTTATATTCCATATTTACTTCACATTGCGATTATTTTTTAAAGTACCTCTGTGTACATGTACTTTTACGTACACTTTTCCAAAAAGAAACGCAAAATAAAATTTGAAAATAATGATCGAAAGATTTTACGCATGTCAAATTATTCGTGTTTTGAGTGTTGAAAATTGTTGTTGGTTTAGAAGAACATGCGTGAGCGATTTTGAATGGTTTTATCGACCATGATAGTCATGATGAGCTTGGCTCTTATGGAACATAACCAAAAGCCGCAATTATTTCTTTTCACGTGCAAAGCATAAGTACAACATGTGACTATAAAAGACCCAAATGCATCTCGCAAATTCATCCAAGACCCTTGCGAATACTGAATGAGAAAATGGGACGTCTCCACGGTGCCGACCGAAATATTGCAATTGGACTATTACAAGCTGGCGAATCAAAGAGTGTCATGGCGAGGACCCTCAGCGTTCATCCCAGCACAATAACTCGTTTGTAGGATCGTTGTGTGCATTACAATTCGACAAATGACCATCAAAGACCAGGAAGACCGCGAGTCACTACACAGCCCAAGATCGCTACATCCGGGTAATCCACCTACATGACTGCCATCGTTCCGCCCGGGACACAGCACAAGAACGGTTTGGAGCACTAAGAGACAGATATGCATGCCAGACGTCCCAAAGTTGCCCCCTCTCTGATACGATTACATCAACGTCCGCGAGTGACACGGTGTGGTCATGGAACCTTGGAAACTGGAGGCACATGGTTCAGTGATGAATCGCGGTATCCCCCTCAAGTGACGTGATGGAAGACAACGTGTTTACAGACCAAGCAATGAACGTTTTGCACCCAACTGCATCAGGCAAGTGGGCAGATTTGGTGAAGATGGTGTCATGGTGTGGGGAGCCATCTCATACACCTGCAGATAGGAACTGATCCTCGTCAAGGGAATCTAACGGCCGCTCGATATATCGACCAGATTTTCTGTCCTCACGTGCGTCGTCTTGTCGACCGCCAGAGGGAGCTGTATCAACAGGACAATGACAGACCACACACAGCATGTGCTACAGTGGACTACCTGGCCTAGTAACGACTTCATTGTCCTCCCCTGGCCTACAGATCCCCGGATCTGAAACGGATTAATTATCTGTGGGTAAACGTGTACGTCAACGTCGTAGTCCGCCATTGGCCCTTTAACAGTTGTTCGGCATGTCGAGGAGGAATGGGGAAGGATTCCACAACGAAACATCCAACAACTGATTCGATCTGTGTCAAAGAGGTATCGTGCAGTTCTAGCAGTAAGAGGTGGTCATACAAGGTATTAACGTCAACGCCACCTCTTGGACAGCAGTAATGACTATGGTGACTGTCATTCTTGTGAAATGTGCACGAGATACCAATGTACGAGGGGAGATAAAAAGTATGTAGAATCACCAAGAAAACGATACAACTGCAGTTATTTTTATGTTCTATTTGTCTACATATTATCTGTCAAGCTCAAGCAATTTGGTTTTGCTATGGTCCAGTCTCACGATCCCCATTTTGTTTGACCTTTTATCTTAGTACCCTAAAAATACTAGGCAAAATCTACAATAAATGCATCAAAAACTTCAGGGAACAAAATATTGCAAGAAATATTTTGTGTGTTTGAGATTGATAGAAGTCCCCAGAATCACACTTAGATATTAAAGTTCATAAAAATGCAATTTGAAATTACAATCGCTTGTTAAAGTGACTCCCCCTTCATGTTGACTGAAAGAGCTTGTTTTGGAGACACTACCCATCCCCTTTTCAGATGACGTAATCATAAGGGCATAGCTTATTCTAATGTGTTCACTTATGCATACATGATGCCAAGGGTTCAAACTAAATACTGAATGGTCACACAAGTGTCAGCTCACAATATATTGTAAACAGTGCCAGCTTGAATATCTGGACAATGTTTTTGAAAGATTAAAATGGGGGTGTCCTTAAAAAAGAGCCTCCTACTAAATATATATAAATCAGGCAATCCAAATCTTTGACTGTTGATCATGACGGGAAGTCATCCAATACTATACTGAACATATTTTATATGACATTATCTGAGGGCATACCATTATCCTAGAGGTACCTAAGACAAATCGTTTTTCATTTTCTGCAATTTTGTTAGAAACATTATACCCCAATGTGTTGTGATGACAAATATCTGGTTAACCACATTACCCACACATGGGAAATTTTGGATATTGCTTTGCAAACGATTCCTTCAAAATAAAATGGAAGCTTTTCAAACATTTGACATCGAGAATATAGTTATGCTACGTACTTTTTGATCGACCCTCGTATTGCTTTACATAATTTCAATGATGTACCGTTTATTTTCGTTGATTTACATATAATTGAATAAGACCAAAATTTTCATTGATATTGTACACACACAGACACACACACACAGACAGACAGACAGACAGAGGTTGAATGAATACCCTCTGCAACAAACCTTCGGTTTTGGCAGAGGCAGTTATGATCATAGTGATTATTATGCATACATATATTATTAACATTATACATAATGGTAGTTATAAAACACCCATCACAAGGTACATTTTGCTATACTACATGTGATAGGTTTAAAACACATGTTTTTCTCACAAGGGTGTTGCAGCTCGATTATGGGTACATATGTTCAGTTATCCCAGAAAGAGCTTATAATTGGATGGAACCAAGTTTTTTCTGAATCCATATGCAATACTTATTACAATTATCAGTGGTTCCAAAAATTGACATGCACTTTCCACGGAAAGCATATTTGCTACATAAGCCCCTGCACTATAACCCGGATCTAGCAATGAAGTTAAATGTATTTCAATTTACTTATTTTCTATGAATGATAAAACATGACATCCCAGATTACATGCAACATGGCTCAAATCCACATGCTGCACTTTTGACTGTTGTTTGGATGCTCATGTTCACTCAGTGTGCGAAATAGCGACTGGCCCGCTAGGCCGTGGCTAGTAAAAAACCAATCGGACCAGTAAATCTTCACAGTCACTGGCCCGACGGGCTAGTGAATTTTCATGGTGTCATTTTGTAAATATATATCACTCTCTCCGACTTGTTAAGTTATAATACATTTTTAAATCATGCAAGATTATGGCCTGATAAAAAGTTCATCATATTAGCAGCTTAATGATGAAACCTGTGTCATTCCAACTGTGTCTTATTCTCATCTATTTTTGTAGTCTTTTGCTTAGTTTCTACATTCAGATTTCGGGCTTGTGACTTATGTTGTGGGCTAGTAACCTTCCATCGTCGATAATCTCCAGGGCATACGTTACGATCACTCTCCACTATACCATGGATGCATCCACGGCTTGGCCCGATAATTATATTACCTCCCTTTGCTGGCTCCGCATTCTCACATTAGCCGGGCGGTGGGGTAGCCTAGTGGTTAAAGCGTTGGCTCGTCACGCCGAAGGCCCAGGTTCGATTCCCCACATGGGCACAATGTGTTAAGCCCATTTCTGGTGTCCCCCGCCGTGATATTGCTGGAATATTGCTAAAAGCGGCGTAAAACTAAACTCAGTCACATTAGCCAATCAGCTAAGCCGCCGTTACATCCGAGCTTGCCAGTATCAACAAAGAAAGCGGTCGCAGTCGCGAAGGTTTGTTCACAGCGCCACTCAGATTTTTGGGGAAATCATACAGACAAATTGACAGATCTGAAACTTTGAAAAAATATATGAAACAACTCCTTCCAGCTCTTTCAGAGTACCTCTGCATCAATCGTTTTTGCCAAGCTTAACGGTTAGATAGTTTAAAAAGCGAAAGTTAGTTGTGATTGGTTCGTTCAACTTCCCAGCGTAGACATCTGATTGGATACAAAGTCAGCAAAGGGGGGGGTTATATGATTATCGGGCCAAGCCGTGGATGCATCCAGGGTATAGTGGAGAGTGATCGTAACGTATACCCTGGAGATTATCGAGGATGGTAACCTTCAGGCATAGCTAACCCGACTGGTTAGCAAAGTTTGGAAACTATATATTTCACACACTGTGCTCACTATAGCATTTCTTTGTTCCATATTTTAATGAACTCAATAACTCCTTGGTGTGTATGCATCCCACAATTGCTACATGCCATGCCTAAATAAGGGCCTATTCGATTATGCTAAACCGGTTTTGGTTTCGGAAAACCATGCACTCGATTATATCGAAACCTAAAACTGGGTTCTGAAACTTCGAAGCCATCTCCGAGGCAGGTTTCGCAGTTTCAGTTCGCGTTCTCTCACAACAAACATGGCGGAAACGAAAGCGCCAAGTTCAGCTGATCTTGGTGGCAAAATAGAGCAGCAGTTTTTGGAACCAAAATAATGATAAAAATCAACTGAGAACTTGGAACATATTATATAAAACCCCAGTCTATTGAACATGACTATTTTATGTAACTTGTATATATATATAAACTTGTAACAATATAATTACAGATACGCACATATTTACCTCCAAAAGCATCTCATCTATTTATTATTTGTTAATTCACTGATAAAATAAAAACATATGCTATCATCCAATTCATTCCAGATATACAGTAGCTGAGACATTGTTTTGGTATCCATTTTGAAACCGGAAGGTAAAACCATCTACTCGTTTATAAAACTAGAAACTAGTTTCACTTTGAAACCATGTATCCGAAACTAGACACTCGTTTATAACAGGAGAAACCAGTCTCAAAACCCAATAAGCGAACAGGCCCTTACTCTCAGCAAAATGATAAGCTGTGTAGTGTTGGCGAATTAACATCAAGACTTTGGGATTATTCAACCTTCTAATGGAATTCACAGCACAGTCGAGGCTGTGTATACTGTTATAATTTTTTCAGCACAGGGACTCAAATGTATTTCCGTCGGTATACCGTTACTGACCTCAGTCATCTGAAGACACAGTCTCCACGTGCCTCCACACGCTCATGTTGTTGAAAGGGCAATGACATGGGCTCTACCCAGCTTAATTGCGCCCATTGGCCGCCCTGGTTCGATTGCAGACCAACAAAAATGGCATTTTGGGACATCGGTGGTTACCAGTCTTGTCCAATGAAAAGAACTGGAAAACATTATGTGAGTCCCATCTTCGTTCGAATTCGAAGTCCATTTTTTGCCATGGAAATGCTCAAAAAAGATTGGATCAGAATGAGTTGCCATTTCATACAAATTATAATTAGCTGTTTGAAAAACAGCTACACACAACTACCATATTTATGCAAATCGAGTTCATAGTAACACCAGCCTCGTGTTATTTGTTGGAAATTTAAGTATGCAGCTGCACGCCTTTCACTTCAACCATGAAGCTCCATGTAGTCTTTTCGGTAAGAGGGGCGGTGGGGTAGCCTAGTGGTTAAAGTGTTCGCTCGTCACGCCGAAGACCCGGGTTCGATTCCCTACATGGGTACAATGTGTGCAGCCCATTTCTGGTGTCCTCCGCCGTGATATTGCTGGAAAAATGCTAAAAGCGGCGTAAAACCATACTCACTCACTAGCTGACTCTTTTCGGTAAGGGAAGGTAACGGGCGGAAATATTTCCATATATTCCTTCGTTTTCTCTGAATAATTTGCCATGCATTAAATATTCGTTAACTCTTTAATATCACATTTATAGGTTTCTAGGACACCACAAAGGGTTGCGAACTTTGATGCTCGGCAGCACTGTTTTCTTGTCGTGTATGATAATATTTCCATGATTATATGTATACCTTTGCCATTTTCAAAACAACTATTGTAAACACTAAAATTGTTCATTTCATCATTTATGGCTGTGTGTGTGTGTGTGTGTGTGTGTGCGTGTGCGTGCGTGTGTGAGAGAGATGATGATGATGATGATGATGATGATGATGATGATTTTAAGAAGGGGGGGTGGGGGTGGGCATCAAGTTTGTGCACAAAAATATTTCCAATTTATGCTTTAAAAATATGGCGAGGGGGTCATTAATTTTGTACATGACAGACAGGGGGGTCAGTCACATTGTACATGCTTCTTCATAAAAAAATCATCATTACCAACCTCATTACCACCCCACCCCCTCCCCTCCCCTCCCCTTTTCGCCATAAATTATGAACGGCCCCTTACTGCGTTCCTCAAGAAGTGGCGTTAAAAGCATCACCAGACCATCATTCAAAATATGCGATAAGGGAGGTAACTCTGTACGGCATAGTGGTGTTTGTTCATGTCATAAGCGATTTCCGTACACATGTTTTGTGACGTTTTACACACACAGTTGTTTGGGCACGTTCAAAAGAGTGGTTGCCAACGCGCGTTTCCACTGAAAATATTCTCAAAATGTCACAACAAGGAGCTGCTTTGCAAAGTTATAACAACGAATTGGTCAAATGTAAGTTTTTAATCATATATGTGACGCTCAATGGTCTTATTGTTTTAAACTTTACCGATCATCGAGTGGAATTTTGATTTGTTTACAAAATCGGTGTTGCCTTGCTAATCTGACAGACTGAATCAAGGAAAGGACAGTATAGGTTATCACCTGATGATCACTTCCAAACATGACAAAAGCATAATCGCCACTTTGCATATTTACATGATTATTTTACTCTCGCCTGAACTAAAAGAACTGGATCTCATAATTTTCTTTTTCTTAGATAACTTGTTATTAAGAATAGTTTTAGCAAAACACAAATGCAATCACAATATACTTGCAGTCTATACTAAACATCTTTAACACAGACCTGTACCTGTAGGTTTTGTGGAAAATATTTTTCCTACGCAAGGTCTACATGGGTAAGATAGATGTGTGCCAGGAACCTGTGCATATTGTAATCATAATGGTAATAGATGACTAGATGCTAAGACTACAGAATACCGGATACCTTCCGCCATCTTTGAAAGCACGCGAGTTTACTTAGGGTTAGGGTAAGGTTTAGGGTTAGGGCGACGTGACACTGAACAATATGGCAGGTAGGTATCCTGTATTCTGTAGGTGTGCCGACTAGATGACTAAATGGATCCGGGTGGTCAGACTTGGTGACTGCTTTTTGATGCAACCTAAATACTTGGATCACTGCTGTGGATGTTTATCACTGAATAGTCTGGTCCATACTCCATACAGACCACTGTCATCAAGCTGGGAGATTGCAGAGTACCGAGTCAAATTCAAATGGACAAAAAACAAACATCATTTTGACTAGATCTGTGGATTGCAGGTTACATTCTCATTCAGTAAGTGAGTCACTGAGTGAATATAGTTTTACGCCACTCTTAGCAATATTCCAGCTATATCACAGTGGAGACACCAGAAATGGGCTTCACGCATTGTGGAGAATCGAACCCAAGCCTTTGGTGTGATGAGCAACGCTTTATCCACTAGGTAGGGGTGTCGCGATACGGGAATGTATCGATGCATCGATACATTTTTTACTGCCATACGATATGCTATACATGCTTGCGTGTATCGATTCCTATTTTAAAACTTTATCGATTCAAATTTTTATGCTATATCCATCTCCTTCAAAGTCTTGATAGTAAAATTATACAAGATCGCTCCGATAAATAGATGTAGCTAGCTTTACTTAAAAAATAGGTTGGAAACTAACAGCTTTTGTGATTGGCTAGACTATTTTGATGGACCAATCAGCGAGTGTGTACTTTGCCGGTAAGGTAATGCTATGAAAAGGCGCGAAAATTATGTATCGCGTTACGTATCGTATTTTGACCTTAAAATTGTGATACGTATCGTATTGTGAGCTTGGTGTATGATACCCCTACCACTAGGCTACCCCACTGCGGTAGATGGTAGTCAGTAGTACAAATGATAGTAAGATAGGACAATAGATAAGAGCAAAGACCAGGGTTATGTCCTTACAAGTATACAATGTGTGAAGCGTTTTTGGTGTCCTCTGGCATGAAATTGCTGGATTGTTTGGAAAAAATGCTCACTCACTTTTCTCTGTAAACTGAAATATGATCTCACTGATATATTTGGAATGGGACTGCCCTCACAAACTCTGAGTTTTACCTCGACTCAGAAAACAAACAACTTCTTTCTGGGCCTGGAATGAATCATTGATCATATGGATGAAATGATGCACGTAACTGCTTTATAAGAAACACCCAAACACCTAAAATGTCATATGTTTGTTTTGGGTACAATGAAAAATATTGTGCATCCCTTGATGCAGTGAATTGTATTCTGTTGCTGTACTTGTGTGTACTGGACGCACATTTGTGAGTCAGGCAAAATCCTGCATGCTGATATGTCCATGCCATGCTCTGGTTTAGATCTGATTATTTATAGACAGCCTCACATTAGTGGAATATTTCTAGGTACAGCATTAAACAACAGAGAAATAATATATGTGAATGCACACATGGAATCTGACTGCGCTGGTATGAACTAGGGCTGGCTAAAATGATCGATAATCAGAAATATCATCGACAGGAAAAATTAGAAATGATTATCGATATGAAAATAGTTTCATCAATAGTATCGTTCATACACTTTTGTGAAAGAATAAAGTTTTAATTTACTAACACAAAGCACAAAATTAGGTTTTTATTCATGGGTTGCTTCTAAATTATGTTCAGGACGCTATTTGTTAGTAACCCATGCATAAACATGTCACCGAATATTGTGAAATCTTTTCATTTCTTTCAGACTATTTTTTTCATTTTTGATCAAACTTCCTTCTCCGATATTTATCAAGAATTATTTAGTTTATGATTATCGATCTCTATGATCCATATCGATAGCCAGCTCCAGTATGAACATTATCAATATTGTTACAGTGACTTCGAATGGAAGGGGAGGTGTGGTAGCCTAGTGGTTAAAGTGTTGGCTCGTCACGCCGAAGACCCGGGTTCAATTCCCCACATGAGTACATTGTGTGAAGCCCATTTCTGGTGTCCCTCGCCTTGATATTGCTGAAATATTGCTAATAGTGGTGTAAAAACCCAACTCACTTTGAATGGAGGTTTATCTGAGTAACACAATCTGTGTTGCAGGCATCGAGGATCTATGCAGCAAGAGGGATGAGCTCCACAAACACATCCTCCAGGAAGAGGAGGAGAAACAGAAGCTACAGAACGATATGCGCATCTTGAGTGAGAGGCTGGCAAAGGTGAACGAGAGTCTGGCCAAGAAGATGGCATCTAGGAATGAATTTGACAAAACAATAGCTGAGACAGAGGCAGCATATATGAAGGTAGGTCAACATACTTTACCAGGATGCAAATATGTCTTCAATGGCTGGTTCAACCAGTGAAGATCTGGGTTAGAATTGGTCCTTAGAAGCCCATGCTTGAGTAGATGACTAAAGATATTGGCTGTTCAGGTTCACTGACTTGGTTGACACATCCCAATTGCCCAGATCGATGCTCATGCCGTTGATCACTATATTGTCTGGTCCAGACCCTGAGCCCAAAGGGGAACATAAACAAACATATGGGGTACATCCACCCATGGGCCCGAGGGACCAGTGAACATCATATTTATCTTACCGAACACCTAAATGTTAATTTTGAACTGTTTGAAGCACAGATATTGGATCATAAAAAGGTGTTAGGCAACCAGAGTTAGGCAACAGCACAAACACTACTTACATGAAGTATCAAACGAATTCCCACAGTTCGGCTTTTCCAGCGGGTTACATAGCAAATGTTACTTGCTTGTAAGTGGGGTGCATTGATTGCTAATCAGAAAACAAAATTTATGTGTGAGGGAAGATAACGATTATTGTGGACACTGCAGGTCAGAAGTGTTTCCTTCTACAAAATAACAAGTTTTGACCCAGTTGTCACTTTACAGCGCTGCAAAATTCTAGAAATTGTTTTCTTTATTCTGATAACAAATTGAGAAAATGGTGAAAAAATGTTGATCTCCTGATCTGTAGTTCAGACATCAGCATGATCTCATCATGGTTGGTAAGTACAATAACCGTACATTGTGATATATAAGTTATCAATATAAGATGTTGCCTGTTAGTGATAATGCATTCTACTGCTGGTTATCGCTCACAGTATGCAGATCAATAATCCAGAGGTACAGATAAGCTGCGTATCTGCGTAAGTTACGCAAATTTTTATGTGAAAACTCAATTCCTAATAAGTCTGTTGCATACAAGTGCGCTTGAATGTTTGTAAATACTCAATAAATATGATCTTGCATGCGTACACACAAAAATGTCAAATCTTATCTTGTGTACGGGTGGATAGATAAATACAACTGAGGTTTATTGAGAGGTTCTAATCAGGACATGAAAGTCCTTATAGTTTCTCATATTATGGATCAAATATAAATAACAAAAACTAACATTCAAACTTTATTATATTTTTTAAATTAATGGAAAGTGTTAAAATACCCAATTGAGTTTGAGTGAGGTGAGTACAATTTATTTGGTTACTCAAAAAATCTCATAATTGATGATTGCTTCATTACAACCGATCAATCATCAAAAATAATTGGTTGGCGTCATTTATAAAATTTGTTAATGCACATAAAAATAAGGAAAAAACATGTAGTTCTTTTTGGGCTTTTTGGCAAAATTTCACATCTTTAAAGGATGACTAGTAGTATGTTAGGAACATAAATTTCTTGGAGCCTTTAAGATAAATTCAATCATGACTTGAAACGAGCTTGTAGTGCTTACAAAATGTAACAGACAAAACCAACCATGTGAAAAATATTGTTAATGAAAACAAGTGTTCCAAAATTGGTTGTGTTCGATTATGAGAAATTATGATCGATTGCTTGGTCGTTTAGTCACTACGACCAATCTTCGATTATTTCAATTAATCGGACCACCACTAAAGGATACCCAATTGAGATGAATGCAAGTGAGTGCATAACTCAATGACACGAAAAGTTATCTGTAGCTCTGATAATCGAAGCTCAGTAATCGATCAATACTCGATTGTAATCGTCAACCCCACCACAAAACTCAAGTGGGCAATAACAGGACACAGTCATATCTTTGTGCAATCGAAACAGGCACCGATTTATACCACGTTCAAGACATCCGTGAATACTTCCTGTTGAGACGCGCTTGAGTTTGTTGTTTACCTTGCAGTTTTACAAATTAGGAAACTACATCAGTTGTTTATGTCTTGATTTAACAAACATTACAGTAAGAAACATGCATTCTAAAGTTTAATTTGATGGTTAATTTTTTATGAAAGAAGATTAGTCTTTCTAGATAATTGATAATCGCTGAGGCAAGCAAGACCGAATGATTGACTGACTATTCGATCTGTCAAGCCACCACCAAGTCTAATGCACTCAGTATCGTACGAAGTCACATTAGTATGAAAATCTTCGCAAACAATGTAAAAGATGGAACAACTGATGAAAATAAAATTACTGAAAAAAATATGCTCACACATCTCAGCTAGTGGTGTTCCGATTAGTTGAAATAATCGAAGCTTGGTCGCAGTGACCAAACAACCAAGCAATCGATCACATTTTCTCGTAATCGAACACAAACGATTTTGCAACTACTGTTTTAGTGTTTGAAACACTTGACGATGGAACATATCCTAGAAGTTGTCAGGGCTTGGAAACTTGTTTAATTCTTAGGGGCGGTGGGGTAGCCTAGTGGTTAAAGCGTTGGCTCGTCACGCCGAAGACCCGGGTTCGATTCCCCACATGGGCACAATGTATTAAGCCCATTTCTGGTGTCCCCCGCCGTGATATTGCTGGAATATTGCTAAAAGCGGCGTAAAACTAAACTCAGTCAGTCAGTCAGTCAGTTTAATTCTTAGAAAACTCACTTCACTAACTGAAAAGTCATGACTGAATATTTCTTGTAGACTCCAGAAAGTTTATGTTCATGATATATTACTCATCACTTTAAAGTAGCAAGTTGCATCATGTTATACATATCTAAAATAACAACCTGGATATGAAAATCTGAAAACTGACGCTAACCAATTTTTTTCGATGATTGTTCGTTGGTAATGAAGCAATCATCAATTGTGAAATTTCAACCAGTTCCCAACACTAATCACAGCAAATAATAAAGCTGGCATAATTTTTGTTGATTATCTGTTTGTTTTCCCAGATATTTAAGATGATTGTTTGTTTTTTCCAGATATTGGAGAGTTCACAGACACTATTGAATGTTCTGAAGAGAGAGTCTCACAGTTTGAGGGAGAAGTCTATGAGCCAAGGCGGTTCTACACAGAGAACGCTGACACAAACCTAACCTCATCTTCAATAGCATCAACTTGTACAGATCCATGTGTATATAGACCCAGTGTTTCCTACCCCAGCTGTGTCTGTGATTGCTGGTGTATTTGTGACAGTCAGAAGGACTGTATGTCTCTGTCATTATTTAATAGATGTAATGTTTTATTATCTTTGACACGTGAAAACAGATACTGACAATGTAGATCATGGTAAAGACATATTTTTTTTTGTAAACTGAAAATAATGTAAACTGTTTTGCCAGAAGTGTTTGCCACCAGTTAGTCTATATTTAGTTCTGGGGAGATTAAAAATATGTAAAATATTTACTTAAGACTTTTGCCACCTGTCTGTTCTATTGTCTTTAGCAAGTCTGTTAGTGATTAAATTTTCTTTGCTAATGAAGAGTACCAAAAGCTGTATGTCCAAAATTCATTTTTAAGTTAGTTTTTCTTGAGACCCTCTTAGAGAGAAGCCTACCAGCATTTTACTTTTCATTATAATCAAACCAAAGCCTTTTAACATATTTTTGAGCATCATTATCTGCCTTAGCCATTTGGCAGAAATATATCTTTTGTCACCAGTCAAGTTAAGCAGTGACAAGGTGTCAGTATGTATAATAAGTGGCTTATGTATGACATAGTATCTGCAGTGTACGAAATAGGCTTGTCAGGAATCATGTAGTATTGAATTGTTTTACTGTAATACATTTTATTCTTGCCTTAATGGAACTGCCCTAAAGTGGCCTTTGATCTTGGTTTGCTCACTCTTGACTAAATGTACTTTGATTGTTCTTGTAAACATGTGCAGCCCATGATGTGGCTTGAGGCCAGGCATCTACATGTCTGTATCCTTGTACATAAATTTTCTAATGTAATCAACTGACTTCCATGTTTATAGGACTTGTGAAGATCCGGGTTAGACAGCCTAGTGGTTAAAGCGTTTGCTCATTTTACCAGGGATAATCTACACTGAAGCCCCCTGTTGGATTCCTCACATGTATACAATGTGTGAAGCCCATTTCTGATGTTCCCCGCAGTGATATTGATGGAATATTGCTAAAAGTGGCATAAAACTAAATTCATTCACTTCCCAACATTTTCTCATATTTCATATTTGAATTTAAATTGTTCCAGGTTACACAGCCTTTGGTTTTTAGAGACATCGCATATATTTTTATGAATCTGTCGAGGACAATTTCAAGACAGGGGCCTACAAATAACTGTGACAATTCAAGCACACTTGACTTTGATTGTTACATTAGGGGTTTCAAATCACATTGATCACCTCTAAAATAGTTTATTTGAATGAGGCTTCACCACCATATAGCGAATTACAGATAATTGTTGCAAGCTGTAATGGTAGCTGGATTTTTTCAAATGTTTATGGGTTGCAAAATGTAGAGCTATGTTTACTGCAACCACAGGCAAACTATAGCCCAAATAGGGTTGTGTAACAGTGAGAAAAATGACTAGTCGTCCTATATGCGAGCGAAGCGAGCAAAGGATGGTAACGGACTTCCCTCGCTTCAGTTCGAAAAATATTTTTAATGTTAAAATAAAAAATATCGCCACCATCATTTCCTCACATGGTTGTGCTCTCAGATTTCCAACCTCATATTTAATGCCTCCTCATTAAAATATATTTCATTCAACATTTTAAGCGCCACTCGTGGCATATTACTCCTGCCAGCTTCCAGTTCAACGGAGTGAAGGAACAAGAATAAGCAGAAATTAAAAAGAAATATCCTATTGCCTATTTTTACTATTAAACTGTTGAAGAGTATTTATCTTTTCTGCCGTCGTTATTTATTCTGAAGAACCCCCCAAACTCCACAAGTATTCCATATGGCGGACATGTTATGTGATTCAACTACATGTAGTATATTTAGAGTTAATTCCCTTGTTCCTTCAGGGGTAATGGATGCGAAGAACGATTTGATACGCGACGAGTGGCGATTCATATGTTGAATGAAATATATTCTACGTGAGTAATCATTAAATATGAGGTTAGAAATCTGAGGGCACTGTGAGGAATTCTACCTTTGATGGTGGCGATATTTTAGTGTGACATAAAAAGTATTTTTCGAACCGAAGCAAGGGAAGTACGTTGCCAACCTTTGCTCGCTTCGCTCGCGAAACCCTATTTACGCTACAGTTAGCCTGTGCTACAACATTCATAGTGAATGTGAGAAAATATTTCGGTCAGAAAACACGATAAAACAATCGTCTATGAAAGTATATATATCAGGTTTCGTGAACGACAGAACTTCGAACCCTATTAGTAGGGGTGGGTATTGCAGAGAATATTCATATTGCGATATATTGCGATATGCATTGCAATATATTGCATGAAGTATTTTTAAACAAAAAAACTGCTTATAATCGAGTTACTGCTTCATTTATAGAGCAAAAACACAACAAAATCACTATGCTTGATTAAGCTTTAATAACAAATTTTAATCATGATAAAATAAAAATGTGAATAATATTTGGCACAAATGAAACAAGGAAATATCCGAAGATTTCCGAGTGTTACGACGTTTTCCGAATGCATGTCAAAATACCGGTTTTCGATCAGCGTATCGCAATACGTATCGTTTTCATGTCTGAACCGGTAAACCGGTTTTATTACCGACGTGGTCAACGTATGGGTATTTGCATACTAATCTCGTAGGCTGTAGGTGAATTCGTAGACCAGACTGGTTCGTAGACGTAGAAATCAGGTGGATTCGTAGACGCATTGAGCGGTGGATTCGTAGACGTTATTAAAATGGGAAAAGTTCAACCTCAATGATGATGAAAATCGACGAAAAGTGTTTGCATTTTGTGATATAAATAAAATATATCAGGTAAGTATGATCGGCGGTGAAAATATGCTTAAAATAATAAAATATGCTTCACAGCGGTCCACGTCCGACAAATTCCGACAAATCATAGGCCGCTAATATATTAAATTCAGTTGTGTAAAATTAAAAGATATGTATTAGGTAAGTATCTCGTTTCGTATACTTCGTATGTAATGAGACCTCGTGTAGTATTCTCTATATATTGCGCAGCCCTACGTATTAACCAGTTCCTGTTACACGCCATATCTCCCGTACCCCCACCACCTGTGCACATCTGGGTTAGAATTGGTCTTCAGCAATCCATCCTTGTCATAAGAGGCGACTAACGGGATCGGGCGGTCAGACTCGGTGACGTGGATGACATGTCATCGTATCCCATTTGCTTAGATCAATGCTCATGATGCTGATCACTGATTGTCTGGTTTAGACCCGATTATTTACAGACCGTCGTTGCATATCTGGAAATTTGCTGAGTCCGGCGTTAAAACAACAAACACAAATCACCCAAGGTCTCACCTAACAACAAAGAGTTACCATTTATAATGATACCAAATTCAATTTAGCGCTGTAAAATCTGCAGGTAAAATCCTTGCCCTGTATGCATTTCACAGTAGGCCCAATTCTCTGATCAAACAAGAATGTAAGTTGTACTTTTTGACGTTCTTCAGCGGATGAAGACAGCTTTCCACGTCCCTTGGGTGGATACAGCTTTTTGAGAAAGGGAGGGGTGCACATCCTTTAGAAAGGGGGTGTGCGCACTTTATTTTCACCCGAGTTTCAATGGTCATTTAATAAACTTGAAGGACCAAAGGGGGGCGCATATCCCTGCACAAAACACCTCCCCGTTTGGATCCTCCTATACGTCAGTGTTTACCCTAAACCCTGAATAGCTGCAGTCCCTATGGACCCAGAATCATAAAAGGTTGTGGGTCCTGATCAGAAGTGTAGGCCCTATATTTTAATATGGAAATAATACTCTTAGTTATTGAGGATGAAAAAGCTGTCGACCATAAGGAACTGCAGAAAACAAAAGCTGTGGGTCCGAGTGGTTTTCAGTCGACTTCAGGCCAAAGCACCCACGTTAATTTCGAACGCTGCTTCACGTTAGCAAATTCCACGATGCTTGAAGCAAATAAACTTCAGTCTTTATATTGAGGGGGCCGATGGGGTAGCCTAATGGTTAAAACGTTCGCTCGTCACGCTGAAGACCCGGGTTCGATTCCCCACATAGGCACAATGTGTGAAGCCCGTTTCTGGTGCCCGCCGTGATATTCCTTGAAAATTGCGTAAAACAATACCCACTCACTCACCTTATGTTGACAGTTACATGAATCATTAAAACAATCCATTCAGAAACTAAACGTTATTATTTAGAACGAACTATATTAACGCGGAGAGTAGCGACAACAACAACAAACAAAAAATTTAAAACTCCGTTTGGAATTAAGACTAAGTATATTTTTTTCATGTATGATGCAAATACTTAATACGCAAATATTGCAGCACAAAATTTTATCACACACTCTTATTTGTTAAGCAGGTGTAGATTAGAAAAATGATAGTCCAACCATGCACCATGATTATTCATCAGCTAAAACGATAAATCCTAAGACCATAATCCTTGATCACGACATCGTCATATGAGCGAAATATTCTCAAACACGACGTTAACCCAATTTCGCCCCACCTCACCTTGATCACGACATGGGTAAGATGCCCCCAGCGTTTCAAATTCAGATCAACGCAAATTGTCCGACTTCACGCCACACGATCAAATGAAGATCGCTCATTGGTCAAGAGCCATTATTGGCGCCAGATTTGACTACCGATATGTCTGAGACAGTATAAGTCATGACTTTCTAAGTGCAACATGAGAAAATCGGCTGGATGTGAAAGTAAAACTTTTTGTTTCTCATGCATGTTTGACATCACTCCCCCTGTAACCATACAACTACTCCGGGAACATCCGGGCTAGAATCGGTCTTCAGCAACCCATGCTTGTTCTAAGAGGCGACTAACGAGATCGGGTGGTCAGGCGCGCTTACTTGGTTGACACATCGTATCCCAATTGCGTAGATCGATGCTCATGTTGTTGATCACTGGATTGTCAAGACTCGATTATTTATGGAGTCCAGGGTTGCCAAAATCACTTCGCGAGGCAGTCATTGGCTTTCTGAGATAAATATCCTCAATAACCAAATGCAAAGGAACCGCAGATGCCAGCAAATAGTCTTGACAGACTACCGTTTAACAGTCTGTGTAAAGGTGTCGTCCCAGTCCAATGCCTGGAGTTCATGCAGTTGAATCATCTGATATACTCCACTGCTTCGTGCTGGCGAGGATGGGTGGGGGAGGGCGTGGCAGGGTATCCGTGTCCACGGCCAGCTTCAGGCTGGTGGATCTGTTCACACTGGCTTGGAACAGTGCTGAAACAATAAAAACAATGGAAGTTCAATCTGGACGTTGGTTGTTTGTTTAACCCCGCACTCAGCAATATTCCAGCTATATGGCGGTCGGTATATACTATAATCGAGTCTGGATCGGACCAGGCAATCCAGTGGTCAACAGCATGAGCGTCGCTCTACGCAATTGAGATACGATGACAGGTGTCAACCCAGTCAGCAAGCCTGACGCGAGGACACAAACATTTACAGTTTTTAATCTTGTTGCCGTACTCCATGTTAAGGGATTTGAGCAGGAACATCTGAGTTCTCCCTAAGAGACTCGCACACAAACGGATTATACGCGAGTACACATACCTTTGCAGTTGTTCATCTTGTTCTCGGACTCTATTTTTAGGTATTTGAACAGGACCATCTGAGTTCTGTCCTTAAAGAAACTATCACACATACGGTCATACGTGGGTACACATACCTTTACAGTTGTTCATCTTGTTCTCGTACTCCATGTTAAGGGATTTGAGCAGGAACATCTGAGTTCTCTCCCTTAAAAGACTCTCGCACAGACGGTCGTACGCGTTGCCCCCGTGGTCAAGCAGCTTATCCAGCATGGCGCTGGCCTTCTGCCGTCGCGTCACATTGTGGTTAATTTCCTCACAATCTTCCCCCGACAGGACGCATCGTGAACGCAGGAAATCAAAATGGCGTTCTGGGTTGAGGGAGTCTACCAACTGCACACGCTTTTCTCTCAGGATCTGCAGGAAGGATACGACAGGAGTGATCCTATACATTCAATGCAATTCTTTTATTACACAAGTGTCGGCCATAGGCCCATAACTACATAGGTTGCATTGTACATGGCAAAACATGGCGTGTACAGTATAAATTGATCATTTTAACATCACAGATGCATTGCATGATAGATAAAGCTGGCTAGATTATTAATAAGTTTACAACACGAGGAGTCTGAATTTAGCTTTCCTTGGTTTGATACAATAGGTTTAAGGTAAATTGTTCAAGTGGAGCTAATCCGTGAAGGTCCGGGTTAGAATGAACCTTCAGTAATCCATGCTTGTCGTAAGAGGCGACTAACGGGATCGGGTGGTCAGGCTCGCTGGCTTGGTTGACACATGTCATCGGTTCCCAATTGCGCAGGTCGATGCTCATGCTGTTGATCACTGGATTGTCAGGTCCAGACTAGATTATTTACAGACCACCGCCATATAGCTGGAATATTGCTGGGTGCGGCGTAAAACTAAACTCCCTCCCTCAAGTGGAGCTGTTTGAATTTGGAAGACGCGAGGAAAGGATGGTATACATCATCAATATACATGTACATGTACCTTCATCGCACTGTAAACAATCTATCATTTTTTGTCTATATTATAATACCTTCCAGATGAAATACGTAACTGATGTGAAAAACATCTAAACTGAGCGGGTACTACTCTAAACTTTTTAATGTGAATTACATTTAAATACAATTCCCTGGACAATGGTATTTTGAAAGTAAGAATACGACCTAGATTTGTTGCCATTTTGAAGTGAACTATATCAATTCTGTTCATGAATACATTTAAGCCGACTCACAAACAAAACAAATCGTATACATACAGAGCTAGTTATGCATAATTCCGTTTACAGTAAAATATGTGTCAACTAACTCAGCGACCCTGACCACCCGATCCCGTTAGTCGGCTCTTACCCTCTACTTGTTTAGAGATGACTAAACTATGGGTGGCTACTGACTTAACTTGACATTGTCATCGAATCCGGACTCCTTGTGTCGTTCATGCTATCAACCTCCAGCTTGCCAAGTTCAAACTCGATTTTGAATAGGACACCGCGTTCCTGTTGCATAATACTGACAACATTCACTCACTCACTCGGGAAATTCGAGTGAGTGTTTGAGTATAGTTTAACGCTGCATTTAGCAATATTCCAGCAACATCACGGCTGGCGACACCAGAAATGGGCTTCACACATTGTACCATGTGGGGAATCGAACCCGGGTCTTCGGCGTTACGAGCCCACATTGTAACCACTATAGGCTACCCACCGCCCCAAAACACGAAACAGAAGTGACAACCAAATTTTATGAGTGAGTGAGTTTAGTTTTACGCCCCGTTTTAGCAATCTCCCAGTAATATCGCGGCGGGCGACACCATAAATGGGCTTAACACATTGTACCTTTTTGGGGAATCGAACCCGGTACTTCGGCGTTACGAGCCCACGTTTTAACCACTAGGCTACCCCACCGCCCCAAAACAATAAATAGAATTGACACCCGTCAACTCCCATCCTGTATTTCCAAATTTAATGAAACAATATCACATTTATTTCATTTCCTGTTAAATACCACAATACTGTGTGCCAGTCAATGTTCTAAACTATATTACATCCTGGTCCTGCAGACAGACGGTGATGAACAGCAAAAACTTACGTCATAAAATCAGTTGACCAATTACAATACAAGGCCTGTGCCCAGGAAAGAAATCGTTGAACAAACATTTACATCCCGTTTGGATATCAGACTTCGAAAAAGACAAATATATTTGAATCGAGCTTCACGGTCAACCGGAAGTGTCTTAGTGACGTCACATGCTTGAATGTGGCTGGATTGATTACATAAGTGCCCGTGTCATACTATGTTTACGACACGAGTGCCTAAATATTGGTATTTCCCGAGCGAGAGCGAGGGATATACCGATATTTAGCCACGAGTGTCGTTAACATAGTATGATATGTGCACGAATATAATATTCTGTCCATTACCGAAGTCGTAAAATTGAGGAAAATCAACCCAAATCTACTTTCCAACATAGGCTGTCTACCCGCCGTCGCCATATGTGGAACGCAACGTCACAGAAGAAACGTGACGTCATAGCATTGTTCATGACGTCACGTGACCATGACAAAAGTGATATTTTGCCCTAGGGCATCGTATGAAAAATATGAACCCCGATATGTTCGCCCTCGTAGGTAATAAATGAACGTATCAATGGAGATGGCCTTGTCTTCGTACACCCCGCATTTGCGTATGCATTATGGAAACAGCTATACGTGAAATTGTTTTGGAAAGCGAGAAGGGACATCGTCGATCTCAGACATGCATACCTAGGCATGACGACGCATCAACACGACATATTAATCAAGTGTCGTACGGTGTTATTTTGAAAGACAGCGCGACATTTTTCAAGGTCAAAACACGGGTGTTGACGCCTTATCTAAAATGTGTAAAATTTGAAATGCGCGAGAAGATTGATTGGGTTTGGTTGTTGTTTAACGCCGCACTCAGCAATATTCCAGCTATATGGCGGTGGTCTGTAAATAATCTAGTCTGGACCAGACAATCCAGTAATCAACAGCATGAGCATCGATCTACACAATTGGGATACGATGACATGTGTCAACCAAGTCAGCGAGCCTGACCACCCGATCCCGTTAGTCGCCTCTTACGACAAACATGGGTTACTGAAGATCAGTTTTAACCCGGATCTTCACGGGTCGAGAATGATTATTACTTTATTCTACAAGGGGCGGTGGGGTAGCCTAGTGGTCAAAGCGTTGGCTCGTCACGCCGAAGACCCGGGTTCGAATCCCCACATGGGTACAATGTGTGAAGCCCATTTCTGGTGTCCCCCGCCGTGATGTTGCTGGAATATTGCTAAAAGCAGCGTAAAACCAAACTCAGTCAGTCTATTTTTCTACAAATGCGCAGAAATAGTTGGACACCTTTTCAAAATTCCATTCAGGGCATTTTGTGCAAGGTCGTATCGTGTTTGGTTGACATTGGCTGATGGACGGCAGTTCTGAGTAACAGTTAGTGATAAAACAATGATATCTGTATGCTTATTTAGGCCAAGAGGATGTTCTAGCCGGAACTTTAACCACAGTATCTAACACATCTGACCCCCGGACATTAGATGAGGACATGGCTGCACTACACTGTTAGACCATCAAACTTCGAGCAATCTAGTAGATTGGTTTTGAGAGTTCTATACGTGTACTAGACCTTTAGACAGAGTCTACTAGACTGTATTGTAAATCGGTTATAATGTTCTATAGGTGTTCTTCACTATCATACTACGTGCAGTCTACTAGACTGTATTGTAATCCGTTATTGTGTTCTATAGGTGTACTTCACTATCATACTACGTGCAGTCTACTAGACTGTATTGTAATCCGTTATAGTGTTCTATAGGTGTACTTCACTATCATACTGCGTGCAGTCTACTAGACTGTATTGTAATCCGTTATTGTGTTCTATAGGTGTACTTCACTATCACACTGCGTGCAGTCTACTAGACTGTATTGTAATCCGTTATTGTGTTCTATAGGTGTACTTCACTATCATACTACGTGCAGTCTACTAGACTGTATTGTAATCCGTTATTGTGTTCTATAGGTGTACTTCACTATCATACTGCGTGCAGTCTACTAGACTGTATTGTAATCCGTTATAGTGTTCTATAGGTGTACTTCACTATCATACTACGTGCAGTCTACTAGACTGTATTGTAAATCGGTCATGATGTTCTATAGCTGTTCTTCATTATCATACTGCGTTCATTCTACTAGACTAGTATAAATCGGTTATATTGTTCTACAGGTGTACTTCACTATGAAACTGCGTGCTGTCCACTAGACTGTATTGTAAATAGGTATAATGTTCTATAGGTGAACTTCACTGTCATACTGCGTGCAGTCTACTTGACTGTATTGTAAATCAGTTCTATAGGTGTGCTTCAGAGTTACAATGTCATGCTCGTTCAGGCCATAGTAGTGAGTGAGTTTAGTTTTACGCCGCGCTCAGCAATATTCCAGCTATATATGGCGGCGGTCAGACCATAGTAAACTATATCGTATACAGGGCCTAGATTTTCGAAGCTCTCTTAGCGCCAAGATAGTCGTAAGTGCCATGCATTAACATTCACCTACGACTATCTTAGCTCTAAGAGAGCTTCGAAAATCTAGGCCCTGGTATATATTGTTCTATTTGTCCACATGGGCACAATGTGTGAAGCCCATTTCTGGTGTCCCCCGCCGTGATGTTGCTGGAATATTGCTAAAAGCGGCGTAAAACCAAACTCAGTCAGTGTTCTATTTCTGTAATACACTGTAGATACCATACTGCGTTCCTAGAAACCAGACCGCCGCCATATAGCTGGAATATTTGTTGAGTGCGGCGTAAAACTCAACTCACTCACTCACTCACTCCTAGAAACCATGCAACGTCAATGTTCACAGTCACATTCGAGAACAACGTGTAGTCCTTTGAAAACAATAATATTCATGATAGCTACAACATTTGGGGCGGTGGGGTAGCCTTATGGTTAAAACGTTCGCTCGTCACGGCGAAGACCCGGGTTCGAATCCACACATGGGTACAATGTGTGAAGCTCATTTCTGGTGTCCCCCGCCGTGATGTTGCTGAAATATTGCTAAAAGCGGCGTAAAACCAAACTCAGTCAGTCAGTCAGTACAACCATCTGTGGATACAATACACGTGCAGACCGGTTCTGTCGGACGCCATACAAGCTGTGGCCAGGACGGAGAGGAAATGAAATATTTGAGTAACGTAATAAAATCTTGACCCTGTACGTCCTTACCTCAATTTTGATCCCGTTCAGAATGCCAGCCTCGTCCATAGCTTCACAGTCACTTCTTGCATACATGATTTCATCCTTGGGGTATACCATTCTATTGGTCATGAATACTGTACGGTTGGGGCCACCCCGCCGAGGCCGCGTGTACCCGTAGTTCAGCTGATGGTTCCCGGTCAGCGTCAGGTATTGGCGATAGGAATTCGGGTGAGAGATTAACACAACTGGATTCGCTGAAACGTGTAATTTAGCCCTATGAGGAAAACAATTCTCCGGAGAGAGAGCCAATCACAACGACCAAGCGATTAGGTGTGTCACTATGTCAACTTCCTGGTACGAGATTCGGTCAAGAACGACTCTCTTTCCGATCAGAAATCCTATGCACTCGGATGTTGACGGTCAATAAGATAACGTCATAATTTTTACTGTAAATTAAGATCAATTCTTTGAAGCGTTAGTACACATGTTCTGCTTATCATGTTTTCACACTGTAAAGTTGTCAGAGATGTCGGCTGCCGTGTTAAGTCTAAGGGACATAACTCTTGTACCCTTACCTGATCCGGGTACTTATAAACCAGTCGCGTTACAATTGTCATGTGGATAATGGATGAGTGTGTTTCCATTGTAAACGCCGCAGTTAGTCCGCCTGTATATTACTCAGATGCTTGATAACCATTCTTATAATTTAACTAAAGCATGTATACTTAACATAGGCTCATGATATAAAAACATGTATGTCAAAGCCAAATGACATAAGTATGCAAATTAGGTGAACGGAAGCAGGGTCGTTTTAAGGGAGGGGGTTGGGGGCACAGTCTATTTTCACCCGTTTTCATGAGAGTTTCAATGGTCATTTGATAAACTTTCAGGACTAAAGAGGGTGGGGGTGCGCACTCCAGCACCCTCATCTGGATCCGCCTATGGGAAGTGGGAATTATTTCGTAGGTGATTCGAAAGATGAATATCAGTGAAATTAACCCCGAGATGAACTCAAATGACACAGAATCGATTTTGTTGCCATTATTAAAGTTGCAGTTGCAGTTGCAAAACGGTATTCAAGTATCTTTTAACTAGATGACACGGCTATGGGAGTATTGATTTGGAAAGTTCGAACACTTGGGAGACGCACATCCATGATTCACCCGTGTCATTCCGGAACAAGCCGAATACCTGTGGATAGGGGTGGGTGGTGACGAATGGGAAAGACACACCTGGAAACACTCCTTCTTAATTACGACTAATATGTTTCATAGTTTCCCTTTGTCGGTTCTCACATACTAGTGAATGTTTCTAATTTATGCCCTTTTAGCAATATTCCAGCAATATCGCTACGGGGGGACACCAGAAATGGGCTTCACACATTGTACCCATTAGGGGAATCGAACTGGGGTCTTCGGCGTCACGAGCGAACGCTTTAACCACTCGGCTACCCCACCGCCCCTCACATTCTAGACGATATATTACGCGAAATGTATTTACAAAATATCTTATTTTTTAAACTCTTTTGAAAATGGACAGATGCCTGTGGAGTTGAGATGGTTAAGTAATTGTTGAGTGAGTGAGTGAGGTTTTAACGGCGTTTTGAACAGTATTCCAGTTATATCAGTTACCGACCAAAAGCCCCTTGGTACAAAAGCCCCTCGATCAAAATCCTCTCTCTGGACAATAGCTCCCCTGTCAAAAAACCCTCGATTCTTGTATTTCATTGAGTGAACATGAATGAACATTTCTCACTGCTCTAATATATTTTATACAGTATTTTAAGTAGGAAAAAGTATTTCATAAAACATAATAGACATTTCTCATTGCTTTTATATATTATAAAAGGTAGTTTAAGTCTTTTATCGTCTCAATGTAAAGGAAATGCGAAAAACATTTTACAGCCAAAAACAAAAAGCTGTCCGAGGACTTTCTTTCCGCTATAGGCTACATTAGGTTGTGTTGATTTGTTTAATTATTAATCATCGTGCAATACAAAATGAATCATTTCTTGTTGATTTGTTATCATGTTTATTATTCAGAAAAATAATTTGCTATTACATATTCATTTATATATCATTTAGGGTTATATTATGAAGCAATAAAATTGTTCATGGCATTAATCATTTCTTGTCTTTCATTTTATTTTCCCATTAATACATAAAGAGAGGGTCTTTTGACCAAGATTCGTTATATCTTGGTGGAGGAAAGCCTCAGACTACCCTTATAGATCCGGGTTAGGATATTGATCTTCAGTAACCAATGCTTTTCGTAAGAGGCGACTAACGGGATCGGGTGGTCAGGCTCGCTGACTTGGTCGACACGTCAATGGTTCCTAATTGCGCAGATCGATGCTCATGCTGTTGATCACTGGATTGTCTGGTCCAGACTCGATTATTTACAGACCGCCGCCATATAGGTGGAATATTGCTGAGTGCGGCGTAAAACTAAACTCACCTAGACTTTAACAACTCTCGTGAAAACCACAAGCACCGACATGGTACAGTCAGGCCGCGGTAATCCGGTCCTCGTTAATCCGAATCCACCGACTTCCGAACGCTACTCACCGGGCACCAAATCATCTCCCTATATATTGTATATAATTGACACCTCGTTAGTCCGATGATTCAGTTTCCGCCTCCGAACGCTGGTCAGTCGGAACGGATTGGACTAATTAAGTTGTAAACAGCTGCGTTAATCCGAACGATTGAAGTTGACCGCGCTGCTGACTGGTCCACCCAAAGTGACACGTTGTTAGTTTAGCGACTTAGCGACTCATCCCTTTGATCCCTTTATCATAGTGAGTGAGTTTAGTTTTACGCCGCACTCAGCAATAAGTGATGGCGGCGGGAAATCGAGTCTGGACCAGACAATCCAGTGACAGCGCTGTTTTGGGAAAGACTATCAATCCAGAAAATATATGCTCGGTACCGTTTCAACACGAAATAAAATTATAAACTATTTTTCGCAATGTTATTGAAAACAACGATTCTCGGACACATGCTTCGGCAGCGGGTCCACAATAACATTGTCAAAGAGCAAAGTAACGATGTAAATTGAATAAACTAATGAATAAAATCCATAATTTACGTATAGGTAGCGATTTCTTGCTTAAGATGTTCAAAATAGCATTATTTTACCCAAAACTTTCGTCTAAATCTAAAAGTTTTCGTTTACGAGGCCAGTATCCATTGCCGTAATATGATTGGCTGCCTTAGGTCACGTGTCTGATTTTGACCAATCACGACCCTTATAGCAGACTGTAGCGAAAAAGCGTCATTAGAAACCAATTTTTATCCAATAAAATCGCTTCTTACAACTGTGAAAATACTCTCGGCAAGGGTTCAGTGATGTTGTTGATGTTCTGAGCTTTCGAACGATACCCGACATCAAACGATTCGCCTCGCATATTATTCATACGACGCTTCGAAAACGGAGGTATTTTCCGTTGTTATGTCATGTTACCGAGCGGAAAGCCACAGATAACGGGAAATAGGCGACCATACATATTATTTAAGAAATCTTTTTATAATAATTTTCTGATGACGTAAAAATGAAAATATAAAAGAAAAAAGGCACGGGCATGTTATGACATGTCACAAATGGAAAAAATCGCCATAGTTTTTGAATAACATTATAAAAATCTAGAAACATAATTGGGTGAACCGTAAACCGCATCATCGATGACAGGTTCCTGGTGTACCAAAAGGACGCAACTGTACACAGCAAACACATGCGACGTTAAGATCCGTATTGACTTTTAAACTATCTTAATGGCTTCTCTTTTTCTGATCTACTTCTTTATTGAACGTGTTCTTACGTTTCAAGTTCTTACATTCGAAAATATTTTTGATAAATATATTTGTGTGATAAGTGACACCATATGACACAATACATTGATTTTTACATATATGTACCGCCATTAAGCAAATGTTTAAAGTTTCTGTCAACTGTTCTTACAGATTGATAACATGGAAATATCTATTGATTTCGTTGTTGATGAGCAAATGTGGGGTTTCTTTCTGTTGCCAACTGCTCCAACGAGGCATGGGGCGGTGGGGTGGCCTAACGGTTAAAGCGTTGGCTCGTCACGCTGAAGACCCGGGTTCGATTCCCGACATGGGTACAATGTATGAAGCCCATTTCTGGTGTCCCCCGCCGTGATATTGCTGGAGTATTGCTAAAAGTGGTGTAAAACCATACTCACTCACTCCAACGTGGCAAGTTAGTAATGCTGACATGTCATTGAGAGCTATTGCAAGAGATGCAGGTTGTCATCCATTTACTATCAGCTAGAAAACATCTGAAAACTAATTACATCAAGGACAACAGCGTTCAGGACGACCAGGAGTAGTAATAACAATAATAGTTCATTTATAAAGCACAATGCATGCTCAAAGCTGACTGGCTGTGTATGGTTTTGCGCCGTTCCACAAATTCCAGCCCAGAATCCAAGTTCCTAGTTTAGACATCATTTTTAAACAGGGAGTGAGTGAGTTAAGTTTTATGCTGCTTTAGCAATATTCCAGCAATATCACGGCGGAGGACACCAGAAATGGACTTCACAAGTTGTACCCATGTGGGGAATCGAACCGGGGCCTTCCGCGTGACGAGCGAACGCTTTAACCACTAGGCTACCCCACCGCCCCGCCCCGCATGCTCAAAGCGCTAATGTCAGGACGAGAAGTCTTTTTTGAAAAGGTGGGTCTTTAGTGCTGTTCGAAAGGTTGAAAGTTCTTTTATTTCCCTTATCTCAAATGTTGTGGGAGATGATTCCATTCTGAGGCTGCTGCATCAGAGAAAGTTCTTTGACCAAATTTAACTGTTCTGACTTTAGGAATGCACAGAACATTATGTTTCTCGGAGCGGAGGGATCTTGTTGGCCTGTATGGAGAAAGGTGTCCGGTGAGTTATCGAGGTCCACTTCTAGAGAGACATCTGAAGGCGAGAATGCAGAGTTTAAAAGTGATGAGTTGTGGGATGGGTAACCAGTGGAAGTCCTTCAACACAGGGGTGATGTGAGATGACTTGGGGGAGAGGGTGACTACTCTTGCTGTTGTGTTCTGGACCCGTTGACATCTTCAAGATCCACTGTCAATGATACACTCATAGTGGTCACTTCAGCTGGGTGTGTTTGTCAGACAACCGGGACATAATCTGATTATCTGTATCAGGGCATCACACCTGGCTGTCCATCAACCCTAACAGCCCTAAGTTTGTTGCTCTTATACATGCTGATTATAGTAATGCATCACGCTATCAGCTCAGTGCCTGGCATATTATTACACATTAAACACCAGGCAGGGAAACAAAAAGGACCCTGTCAGACTTGTGTGAGGGGGCAGTCCGTCAACCTGAACACTACTTAACAGCCTCATGTGAGAGAGAGAGAGAGTGTGGGGGGGCACACACACACACACACACACACACACACACACAAAATGTCCAAAGTAGTACAGGTGTTCAGTCATAAATATTGCATAGATAAATAAAAACAGAATGCCTTTTTCTCCAACATGTTTCGTTCTTTACTCTTCAGGGAGATTGCAGCGGTTACAGTATGACGTCATTACATATATATATAACTTTATTATATTTACATAATGCCAGTGAATAAAAAAACATGTGTCACTTCCAGCAGATAATATCAACAAGGAATGTTCCTCTCTGTAAACCTACCCAATTGAAATATTGCTGCAAACTGCTCATTGTCTTAAGTCTTAGAAAGTGTCCTCATTTAACTACAATGTTGTTAAACTGTATCTAATGGTTTCGAAATGATAACTATACATTAAGTGGAGTAACTCACAGAACATGTCTTACAAAAACAAATAACACAGAGAGATATATTACAGTATCAACGTGATGTGTATCAAAATACATTATTTCATGTAAAATTGAACATCTTCCAAAACAAATGATCAAAGAAGTTTTGTAAGTTATTTTAGGACAACATCATTTCCTAATCAGACATCTTCAAATACATTTGACATAAATCAGAAGCAGCTAAAGAAATCTTGTCCAAATAATCGGAATACCTTTAGAAACTTTTTTTGAAGATGAATTCTTGAGTTCTTGACTGGAATGTTTCATGATAATATGCAAGGGTTAAAAAAAAAGTTGATATTCCTTTCATGTATAAATCCAGGAAACAGATTTTCTATACTCCCCATCAAAAGTTTAGACTCACTAGTGTAAATGTAGCCACTTACTTAAGTCAACTCTTCTAAACTAGATTTGGCAAAAATTTTCCATACTGTTTAAAGGTACTGTTTACACATGAACTGATTTATTGTAAAACAAATTCGAAACGCTGAAAAGATTATTGTCATGGGTTAAAAAATTGATGAAACTGAGTGAAAATTAGTGAGTTTTTTAACAAAATTTTACACCACAACACAGCTTTTCACATGTACGATATTTGCACATGCTTTTTAGCAATTTAATGCATGATCCTCGTGCATTTCATCTGCATAATTTTTGTAGTTGGTTCCCCAAAATTAGTGGTGAAATTCATCTTTGATGTAACCACACATATATGCATAATATATAGAGAGTGCTTTAAGTGAGTCTAAACTTTTGATGGGTAGTATATAATATTTCCAAAGCTGAAGAAGATATGGACACACATGTCTTTGATACGTTTTCCTTGTTATGTTTCATAACATACACAATATTACTGTAAGAAGCTGCTTGTGTCAATTAAAAAACATAGACGTTCACATCCAAGTGATTATGTCCTTCATTGTTTAAAATAGACAAAGAATGGTAAAAAAAATAAGTCTTCTTGATGTACAGCTGCGCATGGTTTTGATGGATGTTCATGTCAGCGCTGTAGTTGTTGGTGAGTCTAGGGAGCATTGATCCACTGTCTGATGTTGGACTTCTCAAACTCCCTGGCCTTCACACCAATAGGGTCTGCTTGGTTCCAGTGCCTGCAGACACATAATGGAATTAAGCTACACAGGATGAACAGACATACTGATCTTGTACACACCAATAGGGTCTGCTTGGTTCCAGTGCCTGCAGACACACAGTGGTATTAAGCTACACAGGATGAACAGACATACTGATCTTGTACACACCAATAGTATTAAGCCACAGGATGAACAGACATACTGATCTTTGTACACCAATACATGAGGATGAACAGACCAATAGGGTCTGCTTGGTTCCAGTGCCTGCAGACACACAATAGTATTAAGCTACACAGGATGAACAGACATACTGATCTTGTATACACCAATAGGGTCTGCTTGGTTCCAGTGCCTGCAGACACACAATAGTATTAAGCTACACAGGATGAACAGACATACTGATCTTGTACACACCAATAGGGTCTGCTTGGTTCCAGTGCCTGCAGACACACAATGGTATTAAGCTACACAGGATGAACAGACATACTGATCTTGTACACACCAATAGGGTCTGCTTGGTTCCAGTGCCTGCAGACACACAATAATAACTACACAATGAACAGACATACTGATCTTGTACACACCAATAGGGTCTGCTTGGTTCCAGTGCCTGCAGACACACAATAGTATTAAGCTACACAGGATGAACAGACATACTGATCTTGTCCATACACCAATAGGGTCTTGTATACACACAATAGGGTCTGCTTGGTTCCAGTGCCTGCAGACACACAATAGTATTAAGCTACACAGGATGAACAGACATACTGATCTTGTATACACCAATAGGGTCTGCTTGATTCCAGTGCCTGCAGACACACAATAGTATTAAGCTACACAGGATGACAGACATACAGACATACTGATCTTGTAGTAGCTACACGGGTGAACCAATAGGGTCTGCTTGTGGTTCCAGTAAGCTACCCGGGATGAACAGCAGACAGGGATAGGATCTTGTCTGCTTGGTTCCAGTGCCTGCAGACACAATAGTGCCTGAGATTAAGCTACACAGGATGAACAGACATACTGATCTTGTATACACAATAGGGTCTGCTTGGTTCCAGTGCCCGCAGACACACAATAAGTACAATAGGGTCTGCTTGGTTCCAGTGCCTGCAGACACACATGCAATAGTATTAAGCTACACAGGATGAACAGACATACTGATCTTGTACACACCAATAGGGTCTGCTTGGTTCCATGCAGACACACAATAGTATTAAGCTACACAGGATGAACAGACATACTGATCTTGTACACACACCAATAGGGTCTGCTTGGTTCCAGTGCCTGCAGACACACAATAGTATTAAGCTACACAGGATGAACAGACATACTGATCTTGCATTAATTGATACACCAATAGGGTCTGCTTGGTTCCAGTGCCTGCAGACATGCACAATAGTAGATTAAGCTACACAGGATGAACAGACATACTGATCTTGTATACACCAATAGGGTCTGCTTTGGTTCCAGTGCCTGCAGACACACAATAGTATTATAGCTACACAGGATGAACAGACATACTGATCTTGTACACACCAATAGGGTCTGCTTGGTTCCAGTGCCTGCAGACACAATAGTATTAATAGTATTAAGCTACAGCAATAGGGTCTGCTTGGATGAACAGACATACTGATCTTGTATACACCAATAGGGTCTGCTTGGTTCCAGTGCCTGCAGACACACAATAGTATTAAGCTACACAGGATGAACAGACATACTGATCTTGTATACACCAATAGGGTCTGCTTGGTTCCAGTGCCTGCAGCAGACACATGAACAGACAATGATCTTGTATTAAGCTACACAGGATGAACAGACATACTGATCTTGTATACACCAATAGGGTCTGCTTGGTTCCAGTGCCTGCAGACACACAATAGTATTAAGTTACACAGGATGAACAGACATACTGATCTTGTATACACCAATAGGGTCTGCTTGGTTCCAGTGCCTGCAGACACATAATAGTATTAAGCTACACAGGATGAACAGACATACTGATCTTGCATATACCAATCACTGTATTAAGGACTTACAGACAAACAATGTTTGAATACATTGGACATACATAGAAAATACTACACGAGGTCTCATTACATACGAATTATACGAAACGAGTGTCCTTCCTATGGTATCAGAGAAACCATAGGAAGGTCACGAAGTTTCATATAATCATATGTCAATGAGACCGAAAGTGTGGTCACGGGATATTATTTATTACCCACGCCTTACATGCATTAAATTGACAAAACATCATATTTTTGTTATTGTTATGGTTTCAAACCAAAACCGGTTTCATAAAGAGGTTGTGGAAGAATTTTGTTCTGTAGTTCACTTTTGCATGACGTCACACTGTATTGACGTTACTATGTCATTCTCGTCTGCTCCTTTGTGGTAACCGATGCCACGATGCATGTCAGTTGTCACCACCTCGTACAGCCTCCTACAGTAAACTACTCCGTAGCACCCCTTTTCTTGGTTTGCAGTTGCTTCACTCGGCTAACATCACTGGTCGAAACATTGCGTTTATGTTTTTCGACGAATACAATGTCTCAGTTCGCTTCACAATTGAACAGCGACACGGCAACGTTCACAATGTTTACATTCCCACAATGCATTTAAGTTGTAGAATGAATGAATTCACGTGTTTGTTATGAATGAACAAGCAGTTCCGTCAGAACGTGACGTAATTGAGAGGTCATCGGTTATCCAATCAAATTGTTAGAATCTCAGGTCAAGTTGTTACGACAGGTCAATGCGATACGACACTTGAGCGACGTACAAGATTAGTATGCAACTACCCATATGTTGACCACGTGGGTAATAAAGACACTGATCGTGCATTCACCAGTCAGATCAGATGTTGTCTGCAGACACACAACAGTATAAGGCTACACAGGACAAAAGACACTGATCCTGCATCCACTGATAGGGTCAGGAGGAACACTAGGTTCTTGTGTCTGCAGAAAATACAACAGAGTTTCACTACATTGGACATACAGACACACCGATCTTGAATTTTCCAATCGGCTCAGATGTTTTCTTGTGTCTGCAGACACAAAAGAGTGTTAGGCTACAGTTGACATACAGACACACTCATCTTGCATTCACAATCAAGTCAGATAGGATCTTGTGTCTGCTGATAAACAGGCCATGATATTACTCACTTGACTGGTAAGGTGAACCAGTCTCTTCATAGTTTGCCCAAGTTGTCTTGCCCAATTAGCTTGGTTGATTTGTTGTTTAGCGCTGCACTCAGCATATTCCAAGTATATATGGCAGTAAATAATCGGGTCAATCTACGTAATTGGGACACGATGACATGTGTCAACCAAGTCAGCGAGCCTGACCACCCGATGCCGTTAGTCGCCTCTTATGACAAGCATGGGTTACTGAAGACCAATTCTAACCCAACTCAACGGGTCATGTCTGATTAGGATGTACATACTAAGATCACAAAGATGGGTTGCAATAAAACAAACTGCCTAACTTGACAATTTTTTCAAATGGAAAAGGATTTTATCCTTCCGTTAATTATCACTGATTATGGACCTATTAAGGGTGATGTATTAACTACTAATTATCAACAGGTTCTGAAGAAAACAATATAGCTTATATTATAAATTTGCTTCTTCAGTATGATCCTTCTTGTCTGAAGATAAATATGTAGCGAACGTGAGGTGAGTCGAAACTGGGTTTAACGTCGTGCTTGAGAATATTTCGCTCATATGATGACGTACATGCATGTGTATGTGTATGTGTGGCTGCTTGTACTAGCCCAGATTGAAGCTGGTTTTATAGTGCTAGCCCACTGAGATACCATGCCGCAGTGAAGCATGAATACCCCACTCAGACACATTATACTGACTCCGAGCCGACCAGTCCTTGTTGTACCCATTAATGCCGAGCGCCAGACAGGGACCAACAAGTACCATATTTTAACGTCTTTTGGTATGACGCGATTGGGGATCGAACCCGCGACCTTCCGCTCTCCGGGCGGACGCTCTAACCACTACACCACGGAGGCGTTATTTAGAATAGACAGGATATGGAACATGAAGGTAATTTCTTCACACTGACCTGAGGTCAAGATGGTGGGCTCCACCCTGCACCCATACGGCTCTCACTGTGTCCGATACATCCTTTGTTACCTAGCAACAGAGTGTTGTCTCGATTATCCAGAGTAATATGTCTCTCTCTGTCATGACAAATATCCTGTTCACCACCTTAGCTTTGTATTGTGATCAGATTGAATAACACAGCCCCATTAAATAAAAACTTTTCTTTCGTAATTCAAACAATCAGCCATATCACTTTTTTTCAGTTTTTGCATTGCAAATATATTGTATCTTAATGACTTCCACTTGTATCCTAGCACTAAGGAAAACATATTTTCCTGCCGATAAAACATTTGTAACAGCTTGTGATTCGTTTGAATGCACTGAGGACACCTTTGGACATCAACAAGGTCTCAATTTTGAAAACATTGTATCATTGTTTAAATTGTTTAGAGGGCCACTTTGGACATTAAAGAAGGTCTCAATTTTGAAAACATTGCATCATTGTTTAATGTTTAGAGGGCCACTTTGGACATTAAAGAAGGTCTCAAGTTTGAAAACATTGCATCATTGTTTAATGTTTAGAGGGCCCCTTGGACATCAACATTCAAAAGAAGGTCTCAATTTTGAAAACATTGCATCATTGTTTAATGTTTAGAGGTTCCCACTTTGGACAACAACAAGGTCTCAAGTTTTGTTTATTGTTTAATGTTTAGGCACCTTTGGACATTAAAAGAAGGTCTCAAATTTTGAAAACATTGCATCATTGTTTAAATTGTTTAGAGGGCCACTTTGGACATTTAAGAAGGTCTCAATTTTGAAAACATTGCATCATTGTTTAAATTGTTTAGAGGGCCCCATTAAAGAAGGTCTCAATTTTGAAAACATTACATCATTGTTTAATGTTTAGAACTTTGGACAAAAGAAGGTCTCAAGGTCTCATTCGTTTAAATGTTTAGAGGGCCCCTTTGGACATTAAAGAAGGTCTCAATTTTGAAAACATTGCATCATTGTTTTAATGTTTAGAGGGCCACTTTGGACATTAAAGAAGGTCTCAATTTTGAAAACATTGCATCATTGTTTAATGTTTAGAGGGCCACTTTGGACATTAAAGAAGGTCTCAAGTTTGAAAACATTGCATCATTGTTTAATGTTTAGAGTTCCCCTTTGGACAACAACAAGGTCTCAATTGTTTAGAGGGCCACTTTGGACATTAAAGAAGGTCTCAATTTTGAAAACATTGCATCATTGTTTAAATTGTTTAGAGGGCCACTTTGGACATTAAAGAAGGTCTCAATTTTGAAAACATTGCATCATTGTTTAAATTGTTTAGAGGGCCACTTTGGACATTAAAGAAGGTCTCAATTTTGAAAACATTGCATCATTGTTTAATGTTTAGAGGGCCACTTTGGACAACAACAAGGTCTCAATTGTTTAGAGGGCCCCTTTGGACATTAAAGAAGGTCTCAATTTTGAAAACATTGCATCATTGTTTAATGTTTAGAGGGCCCCTTTGGACATTAAAGAAGGTCTCAATTTCTCAAAATGTTTAGAGGGCCACTTTGGACATTAAAGAAGGTCTCAATTTTGAAAACATTGCATCATTGTTTGTTTAGAGGGCCACTTTGGACATCAAAGAAGGTCTAAATTTGAAAACATTGCATCATTGTTTAATGTTTAGAGTTCCCCTTTGGACAAGGTCTCAATTTTGAAAACAAGGTCATTGTTCAAATGTTTAGAGGGCCCTTTGGACATTAAAGAAGGTCTCAATTTTGAAAACATTGCATCATTGTTTAAAAATTTTTAGAGAAAACATTGCATCATTGTTTAAATTGTTTAGAGGGCCACTTTGGACATTAAAGAAGGTCTCAATTGCATCATTGAAAACATGAAAACATTGCATCATTGTTTAAATAGTTTAGAGGGCCCCTTTGGACATTAAAGAAGGTCTCAAGTTTGAAAACATTGCATCATTGTTTAAATTGTTTAGAGGCCCACTTTGGACATTAAAGAAGGTCTCAAGTTTGAAAACATTGCATCATTGTTTAAATAGTTTAGAGGGCCACTTTGGACATTAAAGAAGGTCTCAAATTTGAAAAAAATTGTTTTATTGTTTAAATTGTTTAGAGGGCCCCTTTGGACATCAACAAGGTATAAATTCTGAAAACATTGTGTCATTGTTTAATGTTTTAAAGGGCCACTTTGGACATTAACAAGGTCTCAATTTTGAAAACATTGCATCATTGTTTAAATTGTTTAGAGGGCCACCTTGGACATTAAAGAAGGTCTCAATTTTGAAAACATTGCGTTATTTTAATCTTTAGAGGCGGCATTTTGATTGGTTGTTGATTTTGAGCATACTTTTTGCAAGAGAATCAGTGATAAGAGGGACTGAACTGGTAAAGGCACTTCAACACAAAGCTTTGATGGCATTTAAGTTCAGGGTACATATCCTTATATGATGGTGATATGTCACACTAGATAGTCGGAGATGGCTGTCATTGACATCTAAGAAATATTTAAAAGAGATTAAAAATAAAATGAAAGGTGTTCAGCATGTCCAGCATTTCCTATGTCCATCATTATTATGCATTTTCATATTTTCTCCTATTATTGAGAACTGGTTACCATGGTGACCTATTTTAAAACTTGAAACATGACTGTAACAAGGATTACCACAATCGTAATTTTGCCAGTCTTGCAGATATAATACGCATGACAAATTCTTCTGTCACTTTAGGAAATCGGTTTTTGGACACGTGAAATGTATCTACCCCAGCTCCGTTCCATGGGTCAAGGTTTCCGTTGGAGAAGACAAGGTTGCTGGCGCTCTTAATATCTGCAAGAATCCAAGTAAACTGAGGTCGTAATGATCCATGAATAATATTTTCAATATGGCATTATTGATGATGATAGAATCCTCCATGCAGAGACATTTGTTCGTTGAGAAGATTTTTCACAGCAAAAACTGAATAAAAATCAGATCTTTTACCGATAAACGATCCATTCTTTGACAAGATCTGACAAGAAAGTCAATAAGATGTTGTGTCAGGTTAACTTTCTCATCAGTCTGTCAATACCATGGCTTTAATGCTTGATACTATCAAGCAAAGCATTCAAGCAAAATGTCAGATTTGTTATCTTATGAACAAATCTAATGGGCAGTTCTGTATGAATGAAATGTGACTTTTATTCAGTACATGTTTTAAACCACTTGTTGTTTCTGAGTGCCACAGCATCTAGAACAAATGGGTGGGACAGTGGGGGACCTGGTAGCTTGTAATGCCAAAGTAGTGGGTTTGATTCCCGACATAGGAACTATGGGTGAAGCCCATTTAGAAAATATTGCCAAAAGTTTCCAGAATGAGTGAGTGAGTTTGGTTTTACGCCGCTTTTAGCAATGTTCCAGCAATATCACGGCGGGGGACACCAGAAATGGGCTTCACACATTGTACCCATGTGGGGAATCGAACCCGAGTCTTTGGCGTGACGAGTGAACGACTTAACCACTAGGCTACCCCACCGCCCCGTTTCCAGAATGACTGATTATCTGGAAAATATTTGTAGTCAGCTTTAAAATTAAGAATTTAAATTTGGAGGTCATATTCACACAGGGTTCACCTGTTACAATAGGTTGAATGAGTGGATTGACGTAAACATTTCCTTTATTAGCCTTTTAGTTACAACAAAATGTTTCTTGAAAACTTTAAGTGACACAGGTACAAGACGTATACCATGTGTTGACTCCTAACCAAGAATCATAGACTGGGCAATCTGGGATCCAAACCCTGATCATGAGATCAGAGCATCTCTAAGGGAAGTAACTCTTCATACCCTTGCAGACACCTGCTCCCTGAGTACTTAATCAGTACTATGACATAAATGAATATTACTTGAGACATACTTTGACCGAAGAACTGTACAGAGGACCACTCATCTCGTGGCATGACGCCCCAGGTTTTCAGGCAGTACTGGTTCCTCATGTCGGTGGTGAAGGGCAGCACTGGAAACATGTCCGTTACGTTGTTGCTGCCGGCAGGGAGCTTGATCTCCGTACACGCCTACATGAGGAAATATTGGTAAGGCACTGGGGTTCGATTAACAAAGCGTTTGTAACAATACGTCATTCGTAGGCTAATGATAAATGATATAGTTTCAACAGCTTCTAAAATTACGAACGCTTTATGGATCGAGACCCTGGTCTGTTATTGTTGGTAGAGGCACATGGCATAAAGTTACATTTATTTTGAGGCATAATAAATATAGAATAGGGCTCAGCAAAATAATTTTCAGTCCTATGATAAATCTCTCTCTCCACAACCCTCATCACCTCCTCCTCCTTTAATGTATGAGTGAGTTTAGTTTTACACCGCACTCTCAATAATCCAGCTATATGGCAGCGGGCTGTAAATAATCGTGTCTGGACCGACAATCCAGTGATCAACAACATGAGCATCGATCTACGCAATAGGGATACAATGACATGTAAGAACCAAATCAACGAACCTGATCACCCGATCCCATTAGTCGCCTCTTACAACAAGCATGGGTTATTAGTGAAGATCAATTCTAACCCGGATCTTCACCGGTCTTGTATGACCAGTGACTGGATATACATACTTCAATTACAACCTGTAGTCATCATTCACATGCAAGTTTCCTATTTTGAAGCTTAGGCCAGACCAATTTTATTTCTTGTTTTACGCATCCGCTGGTTGTATTTTTTCAAGAATAAGAAAAAAAAAAGTTCATTTCCCTGCTCAAACAATTAAATCCTCATGTTTTTATTGGCCAAAAATGTAAAATTACCCCCAAAATTGTTTTGCCCCATATACACTTCATAAATTGCCAAAACAAAATGCTTTTAGTATGTAAAAGGAATATTACTTTGACTGGTGATTTTTATTTTTTAATTTTTCCCTTCCTGCCTTTAGGTTTTCTGAGGACATAAATCCGTAAAACAAGAAATACCATTGGTCTGGCCTATGGTTTTCTTAGTTGATTAAGATTCTCTTTCAGTTTATTTTTTGGGGTATTAGAAAAAATGACAAATGGACCATCATCTAATGACAAGAATTAGCAAATCCAATATTACATGTACACCTAATGGTTGAGTGAGTTGGGTTTGATGCCTCTTTCAACAGCAGTTATATCATGGTGTGTCAGCTTAATGTGGTAGGAAATCTAACAATAACAAGAAGACATGGTCATCAATATCCCCTGCCACAGTGTTCTGTTCCTATTTGGTTCCTGTGTTTTAACTCCACTATGACGACCCATGAAGATTCGGGGTAGAATAGGTCTTCAGCAACCCATGCTTGCCACAAAAGGCGACTATGCTTGTCGTAAGACTGACTGAGTTTGGTTTTACGCCGCTTTTAGCAATATTCCAGCAACATCACACCAGAAATGGGCTTCACACATTGTACCCATGTGGGGATTCGAACCCGGGTCTTCGGCGTGACGAGCCAACGCTTTAACCACTCGACTACCCCACCGCCCCGCTTGTCGTAAGAGGCGACTAAGGGGATCGGGTGGTCAGGCTCGCTGACATGGTTGACACATGTCATCGATTACCAATTGCGCAGATCGATGCTCATGCTGTTGATCACTGGATTGTCTGGTCCAGACTTGATTATTTACAGACCGCCGCCATATAGATGGAATATTGCTGAGTACGGCGTAAAACTCAACTCACTCACTCCACTACGCATTCATGTCCTGAAGACACATACATTTGGTTTCTGAGAAAATCTATCCCCATTGGGGATATCGTATCAAGAAATGCATGACAAGGGCCAGAACTCTGTAACAAATTGTATCACGGTTTCCGTTTTCGAACTCCATCAAGGCATTTATGACCTGAAAACACATACCAAATTAGGTTTCGATATCTATAACGGTTTTTGAGAAATTCTATCCCCATTGGGGATACCGTGCACTAAGGCAAGAAAGGCATGACAAGGGCCATAACTCTGTACCAAATTGTAACATGATTTTCGTTTTCAAACTCAGTCAAGGTATCCATGTCTTAAAAACACATACCAAATTTGGTTTCCCTATCTAGAACAGTTTTTGAGAAAATCTGTTCCCATCATCTCGGACGGATGGATGGATGGACGGACGGAGCGCAAACCTATATTCCCTTCCCACTTCCTGGTGGGGGATAATAATAACACTGCTGAATATTTATAACGCACCTTTCCAGGCTTCATATCCTGCTAAAAGCAGATTATTATTACACGGGTAACCAAAGCTGCCTGTGAGGCAATAGAAGGTTAATAGTCACGTGTCATATCCTGCCGGGTACCCATTTTCTGCTGGGTGAAAGTGACACAGGTGTCAGGCATTTACAACTTTAGTGAAACCCACTAGCATGGGTATGGTGAATGCAGGCCCCTAAACAATAACGCTGTCATGTTATTAGGAATGTGTATGCAAAATTTAGTCTCGTACTCCAAAAATACAAAAAAGAATCATAGAAATATATTCGTAGTGGCTAAGATGACACAAAATCTTTAACAGAGTAGCACATCTATTCCAAGAGTAATCTTAAAGAACACCAAGGTAAGCAGGGTTGGAAAGAATACTCAACAAGCCTCTAATTACCTGGTAATCCCAAGCCTTGGCGTCGTTGCCAGTGCCACAGCCCGTGGGGTCAGCACACTCAATGAACTCAGCGTCGATGTCGTAACACTTCAGCGTGCCTGCTGTGCCGTTGTAGAAGATGCCTGCTGCTGCAGCTAAGCCTGTCACCACGTCGCTGGCAGAGCTGATGGTTAAACAGCCAGCCTGGATGTAGACAGAGACACTTGTGTAATTGTACTCATAGATTTATGGAGTTTATGCAGGAAATATAATTGTCAGGGTAATTCTGGTTAATTATTTTTGCCAGACATGACCTGTCTTCAAGAGGCAAGCTAGTTAGCTTAAACAGAGTCTAGTTTCCACCCTTGCCATTTTAAGCCTTCATTGGGGCAGTGGGGTAGCCAAGTGGTTAAAGTGTTCACATGTCATGGTGAAGACCAGAGTTTAATTCCTGACATAGGCACAATGTGTTAAGCCTAGGGCTGCGCAATATAACCGGTTTACCGATATCTACCAGTTCAGACATGAAAAAGATACGTATTGCGATACGCTGATCGAAAACTGGTATTTTGACATGCATTCGGAAAACTTTTCGTAACATTCGGAAATCTTTCGGACATTTCCGTTTTTCACACCGAAAGTCGAAATGCGTTTGTTGTAAATTGGCGAACCCCAACAACGAACAAATTATTGTGATGCCAAATACTGGTGCAAAGGCTTCAGTATGTCAGCATTCTGGTGCCCGTCATTACATGACCAGAACAGTGCTAAAAAGGATGTAAAAACAACATCACGCACATCTCTAGGGGTTCTTTATGACTTATTTATTTGTGTTTCCAATTACACGCTTCTTACCATTCAGTATCTTTATGTAGTCTGTGGTCAATAGCATACCATCTACTTCTGCTGTCATAGGATTACTGTGTATTGTAAACTGCCTGCCCCTATGTATCATCAAAGATAACATGCTAGAAGTACCTTTGTATATTGATGAGAGAGAGACAGACAGAGAGACACAGAGACAGAGAGAGAGAGACAGAGAGACAGAGAGAGAGACAGACAGAGAGAGACACAGAGAGAGACAGACAGAAACAGACACAGAGAGAGAGACAGAGGGGGACAGAGAGAGACAGACTGAAACAGAGAGAGAGAGAGAGAGAGAGAGAGAGAGAGAGAGAGACAGAGACAGAGAGACAATGAGAGACAGAGAGAGAGAGAGACAGAGACAGACAGAAACAGAGAGAGAGACAGAGAGAGAGACAGAGACAGAGAGACACAGAGAGAGAGAGACAGAGAGACAGAGAGAGACAGAGAGAGAGAGAGAGAGAGACACAGAGAGAGAGAGAGACAGCAAGAGACAGAGAGACAGACAGAGAGACAAGACAGAGACAGAGAACAGAGAGAGAGACAGAGAGAGAGAGAGAGAATTGTTTCACACCACTTTTGTCAATATTCCAGCAATATCATGGCGGGGGACACCAGAAATGGGTTTCACACAATGTACCCATGTGGGGATTCGAACTCGGGTCTACGGCGTGGTGAGCTAATCCTTTAACCACTAGGCTACCCCATCACAAGATGATTTCAGCACGTAAATACACATAATTCCACTGAGAGGCAGCTGGAGACAAAGCTGAGCAATGGGTGCCAGCATTCAATGTAAAGCTGTAAGAGACCAACTATATGAGACCAATTTGTTCCCAGAGACAGGAACCAATAATTTGGTCTCAAGTTTCAGAAAAAAAGGTGCTTGCTCCAAAGTCTGGATGTCCTGAATAAAAAAGTATTGTGCGAAAAAATGAAATTGCTTGGCTGTTTTCACATGCCGGATGTTGATACAGTTTCAGGAAGATTTATTGAAGGGTTTTACGTCCTACTTCATTAACAAATGTGACTGACAGTTGGAGGGAGCCTCAAGCCCATTTCAGTGTGTCAAAACATGCAATTAGAATCTCAGAAATATGAGTCGAAATATATTTTAAGCAACAACACATTCTTTTAAAGAATACCTAGCACGCCATTTAGCAATTTATTATATACTCAATTGTGAAAGACTGATATTTCTAAGTTTGATAAAAGTTATATTACCTAACTTGTGAAAATATCACATTTTTCATGTCACTCAATTACAGATACATTATATTTACACAAGACACATGAAATATCCTCTATTTATTTTTTAGGGTAAAACTTGACTTTCTTAGAAATTTACTTGAAAATTATTTTCTTTCAAAAATATAATTGATCCCCTTCTCCACACCTGGAAATCAAATATTTTGGGCATTATTCTCAAAAGAATATTTCTCTTTTGAAATAAACATCCGCTAATCCCAGAAATGAAATCTTTGAGGCTCTTACCTTGACGGGGTTTGCTGGAAGCTGAGCCTCGAATGATGCCTTGTAAGGGTAGTCCAGCATTGCCATGAAGGTGAAGGCGTTCCTCACCCACCCCAGGAGATGTTTGAACGCCATATTGTCCGCTAGGGGCTTGCACAGGTTGAACATTCTAGAGATATCACTCAAGCCTGCAGGAACAAATTGTTATTATGAAGGATTTAAATCATTTTCCAGTTTTTTAGTTTCCTTGTGTCACTTTCATTGGAATTCCAGATGTGTATCAGTGGCCTGTAAACAATGAAGTCTGGACCGGACAATACAGTGATTGATATTATGAACACTTACACATGTCATCACCACCTTATCAAAACCTTAACCTAATCTGACCACCACCCAATCATTCATGCATGATCAGCATTGGTTGATTGGGGCCATTTCTAAAATGACATTTCCTACAATATTATAATTTGTTTTCAATTTTTTTCAATAGCCTTATGGTCGCCTTTGAATGATAACTCAAAGAGTTACTACCCTTGCAATATTCATCTGTTTTTCACAGAAGTATTTATCAGATTGCTCTTGACATATTAATTTTTCAACAAATGTGAAATATGATGTGGGTGGATCTATAAAGAAGGTAATTGGCGTTTATAGCGCCGTGCTTGTAAATGCCACCCACCTGACTGTCCTTGAGCGGCCATGTTGTTGAGTTGACTGAACGCCTTCTTCACATTATCCTGACAACCTGGCATTGCCTGGTCGAAGTCCTGGCACACAAACAACCAATCATCATCCTGGCTCAGAACAGTTTAACAGACTTACAATATTGTGTCCTCTATAGAAACAGACCACCTCCGTGGTGTAGTGGTTAGAGCGTCCGCCCGGAGAGCGGAAGGTCGCGGGTTCGATCCCCGGCCGCGTCATACCAAAACACGTTAAAATATGGTACTTGTTGGTCCCTGTCTGGCGTTCGGCATTAATGGGTACAACAAGGACTGGTCGGCTCGGAGTCAGTATAATGTGTCTGAGTGGGGTATTCATGCTTCACTGCGGCATGGTATCTCAGTGGGCTAGCACTATTAAACCAGCTTGAGTCTGGGCTAGTACAAGCAGCCGCACATACACATACACACACATGCACGTCGTCATTGAGCAAAATATTCTCAAGCACAACGTTAAACCCAATTTCACCTCACCTCACCTATACAAACAAGCTGAGAACTGATGCAATTAATTTTCACAGAGGGACTGTTTGAATCAATATATATCATAACTGACTTTTCTATTCTGGTAAAAAACTATGCTCTAAAAGTTAGTGGTTGAAAATTTTCATCTGAATATGTGCAGTTTGTTGTTTGTTTGTTGTTGCTTTCTTAACAATATTCTGTGAAGATGACTTTGTCCTGCCCATGAAAAAGTCTGGGCCAGACAATCCAGTTACTGAAATTATAAGCAATTATCCATGTTTTTCTGGGACGTTGACACACTGATATATTAAGTGAAATGCAGGCGTAGTAGAGGCCACGGTGAAATTTTTGGGGGTCACTATCTCCCTATTTGGGACTTAATATCTCCCTACATAGGACTTAGTATCTCCTACATAGGGACTTAGAGTATAGTGAGATGTCCTAAATTAGGACATACTATCTCCTATGTAGGACTTAAAAGTCCCACGTAGGAGATACTAAGTCCACGTGGGAGATATTAAGTCCCACGTTTAGGAGATACTAGAGATCCTAAGTCCTACTACCAAGTCCCACGTAGGAGATATTGGGAGAAGTCCCACGTAGGAGGGAGATATTAAGTCCCACGTAGGAGATACATTAGGAGATACTAGGAGAGTCCCATTAGGAGATACTAAGTCCTAATGAGGAGATACTAAGTCCTACGTAGGAGATACTAAGTCCTACGTAGGAGATACTAAGTCCCTAATCGTAGGAGATACTAAGTCCCACGTGGGAGATACTAAGTCCCACGAAGGAGATAGTCCTAAGTCCCCACGTGGGAGATATTAGGAGATCTAAGTCCTACGTAGGAGATACTAAGTCCTCCACGAGGAGATATTAAGATACTACGTAGGAGATAGTAAGATCTAACGAGGAGATAAAATTCACAGTGGCCCTACTAGGAGCTTCGTAGAGGAGATAGTGAGGTCAAAAATTGGGTTTAATGTGGGTTTAATGTGAGAATATTTGGCTCATATGATGGCGTGCATGCGTGTGTATGTGTATGTGTATGTATGTATGTGTATGTGCGTCTGCTTGTACTAGCCCAGACTGAAGCTGGTTTTATAGTGCTAGCTCACTGAGATACCATGCCGCAGTGAAGCATGAATACCCCACTCAGACACATTATACTGACTCCGAGCCGACCAGTCCTTGTTGTAGCCATTAATGCCGAGCGCCAGACAGGGACCAACAAGTACCATATTTTTACGTCTTTTGGTATGACGCAGTCGGGCATCGAACCCGCGACCTTCAGCTCTCTGGGCGGACGTTTTAACCACTACACCGTGGAGGCGTTCGATATATTAAGTGACTCAGATAGCTAAACACAAATTCCAGCCCAGAACCCAAGTTCCTAGTTTAGACATCAAGTTTAAACAGTGAGTGAGTTAAGTTTTACGCCACTTTTAGCAATATTCCAGCAATATCACGGCTGGGGACACCAGTAATGGGCTTCACTCATTGTACCATGTGGGGAATCGAACCCGGGTCTTCAGTGTGATGAGTGAACGCTTTAACCACACGGCCCTGTTATGAGGCATAGAGAAGGTGGGGTGTGAGAGGAAGAATACAGTTTTTATCTCTTAATAAGAGATGAAAAACATTTCTGCATTTCCACGTTTTTAAGAAATTCTGAATATTCAGTATTTTCTGATACAATTATATATAAATAATCCTTGCCCCCCAACTAGAATATCAAATGGACATCCCACAGTCCCCTGATCAAGAAGGCTCAATGTTACCTGGTGTTACCTGATGTTACCAGATGTTACCTGATCTTATTTGATGCTACCTTGCATTACCTGATGTTAGCTGGCGCTACCTGATGTTACTTGATGTTACCTTGTGTTACCTGATGTTACCTGGTGTTACCTGATGCTACCTGGTGTTACCTGATGTTGCCTGGTGCTACCTGATGTTACTTGATGCTACCTTGTGTTACCTGATGTTACCTGGTGTTACCTGATGTTACCTGGTGTTACCTGATGTTACCTGGTGTTACCTGGTGTTACCTGATGTTACCTGATGCTACCTGGTGTTACCTGATGTTACCTGATGTTACCTTGTGTTACCTGGACATTTGTGGTTATGTGAGCATGACTCAGACAAATGTGTCTCACAAAAATTGTACGTACATTTGACACAATTGGGAAGAAGAAATCTCTGGGATGGGAAGGGTCCAGCATGTAGATTGGAGCACTGGCTGCGATGCCGCCATCTATGATGTTTGGATACTTGAACCTCATATAGGCTGTCAGCATCCCCCCATAACTACAAGTGAGAACCACACAATCTGCATCACCTCATTCAGATAGTCAGTATCAAGCAGAGATCTATGATCGAATGCTTGGTCTGTTTGGTTTGGACAACCAGGATATTTTAATGCTTAATGCGTTTTTGTTTAATGAAGGTCTAAAATGTATGGAAAATCTAAATTCAACACCATTTTTAAGTGATTTATAAAGGAACCTTAAAATCAGCATAAAAAGTAACAATCTGTTTAATGCTCTGGTATAATAAGTATATGACAAATAAGTTACAAATTAAGTCCCTTTACCAGGGGTTCTACAGGTTGAATTCTTAGTCTGTTCAGTTTTAGAAGGACTCTCTATAGGAAGGTTTTTAAGTTCAAATTTACAAGACTGTTCCCTACCTTCCTCCAAAGGAGATGACCCGACAGTTTGTGGCGTTCAGTTGTTTCTTCAGGTCTGTGAGGAAGACGGCATAGTCAGCCATGGCTTGTTCCATCGTCAGGAGCCCGATCTCAGGGGACTTGAAACTGTCATCGCCAAACGGGAGAGACTTGCCATAGAATCTCTGTTGATTTAGAGAGAAACCAAATTATTAGATAAATAATAACATATCAGATTTTATTTCAAAATTGTTAAAGATTTGAAGTTGAATGCATTTATTAAATTTATACCCTCACATAGAGTCCGTTTGGCTCAAAAGCGGACCGATGAATTGCAATCTAACTCGAAAACTAATAAACATATAATACTCAATGAAACGCTGATCATAATCAAAACATCAGACCTACTCTGTGATTTGTTTGCAGAATTTATGTCCTAAACATAAAAAAGTTGTTTAACAAACTATCATTAAAATATCGACACAATTCACTATATGTTACGAGGGATGAGTGCAGAGAAAGGGACAGCCAGGTGTGCGAGAAAGGATGGAGACGGCACAGCACAAGTTAATGAATCAATAACGTTGTCGGCACTTGTGCACGTGCTTCTCTAACACCTGGATGTCCCTTTCTCTGCACTCCTCCCTCGTAACAAATGGGGCGGTGGGGTAGCCTAGTGGTTAAAGCGTTGGCTCGTCACGCCGAAGACCCGGTTTCGATTCCCCACATGGGCACAATGTGTTAAGCCCATATCTGGTGTCCCCCGCCGTGATATTGCTGGAATATTGCTAAAAGCGGCGTAAAACTAAACTCAGTCAGTCAGTCAGTCGTAACAAATGGTTAACTGTGTCAAAATTTTAATGATAGTTTGTTAAACAACTTTTTTAATTTTAGAACATAAATTCTGCAAACAAATCACAGAGTAGGTCTGATGTTTTGATTATGATCAGCGTTTCATTGAGTATTATATGTTTATTAGTTTTCGAGTTAGATTGCAATTCATCGGTCCGCTTTTGAGCCAAACAGACTATAGTTAGCATGATAATAAGTATCGTCTTGTATGTCTTTCAGTAATATGTGAACAGGGATAGAACAACTGACATTATTCTGCTCTTGTGGTGGGAGTGAGTGAGTGAGTGAGTGAGTGAGTGAGTGAGTGAGTGAGTGAGTGAGTGAGTGAGTGAGTGAGTGAGTGAGTGAGTGAGTGAGTGAGTGAGTGTGTGAGTGACAACAGAAATAGGCTCCACACATTGTACCAATGTAGGGAATCAAACCCAGATCTTCAGCATAATGTGGCAACGCTTCAGCAACTAGGCTACCCCTCTGCCCCTCCTACGAAAGGAGGAACATACATTTCATATCTTTGAGTACAATATTCCAGCAGGACACAATTCAATTTTAAAGCTGCATTTAATGGGAAGGAGTTTTTTCCAGTTCTGTCAATTTTTATAAGTAAAAGACGAAAAAGACAAAATAAGTCCATTTTCCATAACTGATACACGGAAACAGACGAAATGGGTAGCTGAACATCCTTAAAACGTAATTTGTTAATTATGTCATGAGAAAATGCTTTACTACTCTGAAACATGATCTCGACAAGTAATAGAGCTCAATTTCACACACCTTAGTAAGTCAGTGCATGTGTTCACCTTGGAGAAGAACAACCTTTCCCCAACATATTAATTTACATTCCTGAAATACCAAACCTGATGCTTACCAAAGCAAGTGCTTCAAAAACTCTTGCCAGAAAGTAAATAAGTTCCTTAAGACAGAGAAATGTAAAACAAAATGAAATATTGCTTCAAACACATGTTCAAAGTCAGACACAGGAGATAATGGCGCCAACCTAAGATGACTGAAGAACAAGACAAGAATTCCTTATTTATGGAATGGTAATGTCAAACATCACAGATTCTATATCGTGTTTAGTAATCGTGGGCTATTGATGCTGAAGATAAATCAACAACACATTCATCAAGACACATTCTGATGCTGTTATCATCTCAAAATCACACAGAATTCCAAATATTTATAGGATAGTAACTTGAACACTATTTTTGCTAACGCATTGTTTACCTGAACACTATTTTTGTACTGTTGTACCGTTAACTGTTAACTTAAACAACTATTTTATTAAAGTATTGTTAACCTGAACACTATTGTTGTGAAAGTATTGTTTAAACCTAAGAGCAATTGTTATTAAAGTAATGTTAACCTAAATACTAGTGTTATGAAAATATTGTTGACATAAAAACTATTGTTAATAAAGTATTGTTAACCTAAACACTATTGTTGTTAAGTACTGTTAACCTAAACACTATTGTTATTAAAATACTGTTATCTTACTTAACCTAATTAACACTAATTTTGTTTAAGCACTGTTAACCCATGCACTGTTGTTCATAGTTGAAGCAACTATTATGAAAACCATTAAATGAATGATACTTAAATACTTAGTAAAACCAAGAGGTTGGTGGTAAACCCACATAATTAGAATGCAAATCTGGGATGTCAGTATTGAAACCATTTGATTCACTTCTGCATTAGCATTTTAAAGCTGTTCACACAGTAAATTCACCGGAGAGGTAGTTAAATCATCTGGTGACTGGTAAAATCATGGGATTACAAGTAAAACCTAGGATGATTTGTAAAACCATGGGATGCTTAGTAAAAGCGATGGATGATTTGTTAACACATGGGATAAGCTTAGTAAAACCATGAGATGAATAGTAAAACCAAGATTTAAATGGTAAAACTAGAGATGAATAGTAAAACCAAGGGATGAATAGTAAAACCATGGGATGATATGTAAAACCATGGGATGATATGTAAAACCAAGGGATGATATAGTAAAACCAAGGATGATGAATGATTAGTAAAACCAAGGGGTGACAAGTAAAATCATGGGATGAATAGTAAAACCATGGGGTGATATGTAAAACCTGGGAATGATTAGTAAAACCAAGGGATGAATAGTAAAACCATGGGATGAATATGTAAAACCATGGGATGATATGTACAACCTGGGAATGATTGGTCAAACCAAGGTATGACTAGTAAAATCATGGGATAATTAGTAACGCCATAGGATTATTTGTTATATCATGGGATGAACAATAAAACCATGGTCTGATTAGTAAAACCATTCCGTAAGACATAACATCAGATAACCTTCAAGACCACCTGCTTGTTGTTTACCAATGACTTGTATGAAAAGGTTCACATGCTCTGTCGGCACACAGCTTCCTGGCGCTCTGGGTATATTCCCCGATAACCATCTCACATTCAGATCTCTGAGGAGCCATCAAATATTCATAGAAAGGAAAGTTCTTCCATCCCAAGTGTACAACGTAAAGGGAATATTTTACAGCAAAATGAAATTACAAGTAGGGTTTTTAAAATACTATCCCATTTATCCTAAAGCCTTTCCTATTAAACATTTTTTAAGAATCTTGTTTCATGTTCATTCAGTGGATAAACTAGTTATATGACAACATTTGGCAAGCTTTTGTACCATTTCCCAAGAAGTTTAGAGGAAATTATATTGTTTATAAGTCTCTAGGCAACCAATGTGCTGTGGTTGATGGCGTTATTTCAGCCCAGTGCTCAAAGCAATGTATAGATAAATAAATTATACAACGGATGGGATCATATAAGTTTTTATGGATTCCCAGGCCAAATTAGAAGAGAATAATTAGATAAGTCTCCAAGCAGCTTGTGTCTTGAGAGATTGTGTGAAAAAGTATTGTCATGGGACAAAAGTCTACAAAATGTAATTTCTTTAACTTGGGAATTGTATTTCCATAGAATCAAGATGGTTCTCGAAGACTGCTGTAGAAGTGAGTGAGTGAGTTTTAACTTTGGCAAATAAAATTTTACAATACTCCTCACACATTTTAAACACAGAATATAAACTTTTACCATCTGGCAGACGTTTCCAAATTCCAAAATTTAAATCAAATAGAGCCCTGAAATCGTTAATCCCGTCCAGCATTGGCTTTTTAAACAATAAATGATATTATTTTACATACAAATCTTATCTTTACCTGTATATGTGCATTGTTGTTGTTATATTAATCATAACTGTTTTACCTGCATATTTTTAACCTGTGTTCAATGATTTATTTACAGTACTTTTACATGTAACAAACACACCTTTATTTATCTCATTTATCCCATACTCATATGTGCTCTCTGTGATGATGTATAGCAAATTCCCATTCAGGGTAATAAAGATTTTTCTTCTTCTTTCTTCTTTACGCTGGACTCAGCAATATTCCAGCTATATGGCGGCAGTCTGTAAATAATTGAGTCTGGACCAGACAATCATGTGATCAACAGCATGGACTGTCTCCTGACTTGATTATTTACACATCGCTGTTATATAGCTTGAATATTGCTGGATGTGGCATTTAACAATAAACAAATCATTCAAAACACAGAAAATGTTCTTCACAGCATGACATCAAAGAGTTAAACAGCGTTAAACAAACAAACAAACAAAACATCCAACCAAAGATAAACATCCCATCCCAACAGGGTGCTGTTGTAAAGAGCAACCTTTGTGCAACACCAGTTGTAAGTCTAATTAGTGAGTGAGTGAGTTTAGTTTTACGCCGCACTCAGCAATATTCCTGTTATATGGTGGCAGTCTGTAAATAGTCGAGGCTGGACCAGACAATCCAGTGATCAACAGCATGAGCGTCACACTGCGCAATTAGGAACCGATGACGTGTAAACCAAGTACTGAAGATCAATATTCTAACCCGGACCTTCACGGGTGTAAGTTAAGGCATGGGAGTAATGTCTATGTTAAGGTATGGGAGTAACGTCTATGTTAACGCATGGGAGTAATGCCTATGTTAAGGTATGGGAGTAATGTCTATGTAAAGGCATGGGAGTAATGTCTATGTTAAGGCATGGGAGTAATGTCTATGTTAAAGTATAGGAGTAATATCCATGTTAAGGTATGGGAGTAATGTCTATGTTAAGTCTATGTTAGGCAACGGATAATGTCTATGTTAAGGCATGGGAGTAATGTCTATGTTAAGGTAAGGAGTAATGTCTATGTTAAGGTATGGGAGTAATGTCTATGTTAAGGTATGGGAGTAATGTCTATGTTAAGGCATGGGAGTAATGTCTATGTTAAGGTATGGGAGTAATGTCTATGTTAAGGTATGGGAGT